AGGGTCTCTAAAGAAACATCTCCATGCCAAGCTGAATAAGGATGAAGAGACCCTGGGCAGTCTTCACAGGGTCAGATGAAGCCATCTAAGAGGTGTTTCAAGGGCAATTCCCTCGCTGACAGCTGCTAAAAGGCTGAGATAAATCACACACAAAATACACCTGTTTTTCATCTGTTAACTACAAAGTGGAAGCATTTAGTGCTGGTCTCAGAGCTTAAAGTTAGAGATGATGAATTCCACCTTCTCAAACCATCCTTGTCAACCCAGCATGTCATTAACAGCTCAAGCAGGAAAAGAGCAACACAGATCGATTCTTCTATTAACATCAAGCCAGAACATCACACAAATGTGATCCTCAAATAATAGCTGAACCCACAGCATCAATGGATGGCAATGTCACAGCCTACTGACATCCTTCCCATGCCCTGGAAATACAGCCTGAAATTTATCAACCCCTGGAATCACAGTGCGTCAGTTTAAAGAGTGAATCACAGGCAATTTAATTCTATTACCCAGAAAAATAAGCAAAATTGATTACAGGCTCCTAAAATACTAATCCCTGAGGCAGAGATTTGCTGCTCTGTAAGGACAGAGGATCCCAGAGGTCTGAGGGGTCTTCTGCAGATGCAATCTGCTTTTTAACTTCCCTGGAGAGGTCTCATATTTTAGGACTGAAACTGGAAGTGGAGGCAGCAGTTTTGCCCTGGCTGGCTTTCTCTTTATGCCTTCACGAAGCACGGACACAGGATCTCATGCCAATGGACTCCTCCAGCCTTTGCTCCTCAAAGTTTGGAAAACTTCAGAGGGAGGGCCTGGGCAGGCTGCAGGAGGTAAATTTGTATTTATGCTTTAAGGAATGTGAAAACAAATGTATAACACAAGTCTCCAGGCTCCCATGGACCTGTACCCTGCTTCCAATGGGAGCCATCTGACACTGCCCATCTCTAGGTCCCTCCAGCCGATTCCTAAACCAAGGGTGGCTTTTGATCCACGCACTGGGCAGACAGGAACAGCAGCTGTGTCCCCGCATTGCTCCCCCTCTGTTGCTTCTCACTGTTACCACCCCAAGATCAATGCGAGTTTGTTCCCTGGCAACACGCAGCTTTAAATCATTCCTGCAAATTTCCTCAGGCATTCAAATCCTATTGAGTCCAGCATCAAGTGGCTCTTTTCACAGCCTGGGTGGGTATTTGTGTTTTGCCTGCCTTTAAGTAAATGAATTACTCTCACATTTATGTGGCGGCATTTGGCTGAGCACATTTAGTGAGATGCCAGCTCTGCTGTTCTCCATCAGAGCTCTGCTGCATGAGATGCTCAACTTCCTCATAAGCAGCTCTTGCTGCTGTTGTCTTCTTAGATGAGCCAACCAGAACCACCAAGCTGAGTCACTTCATGACACAGTTACGGTCTTTAGGAAGAAGTTGAGGTGTATTTCATGACAGAAGATGTTTGAGAGGGTAAACCTTTCCAAACACAGACTCTCCCTTACCCAGCTGCACCCCAAGCATCCAAACTGGTTGAGTTTTCCTGACTTCCCTATCCCAAAACCATTCCTCATTGGTATAAACTTCCTTTTACTGGCTACAAGGTAAGAAACTCTCCCAGCTGAAGTAACCAAGCTGCCCTGGCCGTGCACATCACTGAAGCTGCGGACAAGTACAGAGGCCAGGGACAGAACATTATGTTGGAGAAGGCAGCTTGTACCAGGTTTCTAAAGCAAATCTTCATTTGAGTCTGATGCGTTGCTTACTCCTGCAGCAAAACATGGAGAGGTTGTAACCAACAGTTATTAATTTTATAATCAGGGAATGCAATTCCAAACAAGCCATGGGAACTTTACTTTAGGTAGATTAAACTCCTCTGTGAAGGATGCAGCAGAAGCCCTGGAGAACCAATAGCTCCCTTAACGATCAGCGAAGCTAACCCAAGGATGGACCAGGTTTGCTGTGGAAACTGGAGACACAGAACATCCCCAGAAATCAAGAGGAGACGTCTTCCTTCCCTGATGTCGATGAGCTTCTCAGAGTTGCATTGCCATTGCACTTGCTATCATACTCTACTACCAAAAACTGGAGAAAAAGTTATCAGATGTTGTGCTGCAAATAGACTTCCTAATCTGACCCCTACCTGCCCTGGAAACAACAACAAAAGAAATCCAAACTCGCTATGGAAGATAGCAATCAGCTTTACACCAATTACTTGAAAACACTTAACACTCTGTGCTGTGTACCACATGTACTGGCACCCTCACCAGAGGCTGCTTGTCACCAGGATTTAAAGCGCAGCCAAACGGAAAGAACTCTCCGGTTTCCAGATTGGCTTTTCTAAAATACTCATTTATTTCAGCAGAAAGGTGGCAAAATCAGGACAAACAAACATTTCTGAAGACTTCAGTGAAATTCTATTAAATTATTTAGGGAGCATCTTAACAACGAAACCCAAACCAAAGTAAAACCCCTCAGAGCTAGTAGAGATTCAACTGTTTCTGTTTTCCCTTGGATATCCATTCCACTTTTTCTGTTCATTTTTGGCTTGGCATTTCATTTCTACCCGAATTGAAAGTTATACTTAGCACTGTCCTGCTGGTGCTTTGCTGGGTGAGCGCACTCTGTTCCTGTCTGACTCAGTGCAGCTCCCTGGAAGGCTGCGGGTGATGGAGGGTGTATTTGTAGCTCTGCCTGAAGCTGTGTAATAGAGCAAATCCTGTCTTTGATGAATGAAAGGTAACCACAGCCTAGTGGGAGATGATTCTCCCAGGATAGAAGCAGCTGGGTCCTTGCTTCCATGATCTTAACAACCCCTCTTGGCTGTTTATTTTATTGCTGTGGACAGCAGCAATTGCCATAATTAAAAATCATTGCTGCAATAACCATCACAGCCATGCAGCTCCAATGCATAACTTCAAATCTGATGTTAGAAACAGTTTTGCTGCCTAACCAGCTGCGGGGGTTACAGTAAGATCCAGACTGTGACCCAAGGCTGCAGACGTTTTGTCTTATGAAACCTACAAACATTATACAGCAAAAACTAAACCAGGAGTGAGGCAGTGTGCTCCTCCCCACCCCAACCTGGCCTTTTATTTTCTGTAACGCTACTCAAGTGATAACCACCAGTGGGATTGGTAATGGATGCATCTGGTTGTGATGGCTGTGTCCCACTCAAAGGTGATTCAGCAGAGACAGAATACTAGAATAACGGGTTAAAAAGGACCTCAGGGATCATCTGGTCCAACCTTCCTAGGCAAAGCATGACCTAGACTGGATGTCCCACCACCCTGTCCAGTCAAATTGTAAAAGTATCCAGTGTTGGGGAATCCACCATCTCCCTGGGGAGATTTTTCCAAAGGCTGATTGCCCTTACTGTGACACATTGCTAATTCTTTTTCATGAGTGAAGTGTGTCACTCCATCTTGCAACAAGGAGAAAAGCAAATAGGAACCAGGCACATGCAGGATGGTGCCTGATGTCCTCAGTGATTTCCATGAAACCATCTACTAAATCCAGGAGCCTCACTTTAAATAGACCTTTGGTGTGTTTGTTCAGAAGAGCTCCATGACTGTAAACATCCACCCCCCAGAAAACTCCCATGGAAGCTGACTTTGGGTGTTTCTTCCTTTCTACAGCAGCCAAAAGGACTTTAGATGCTCTGTGGGACAAGCTGTTTGCAGCAGTGGGTACCTACCCGCCTCTGTCATAGAACAGGAACCATACTGGCTTTGCACCTGTACTTTGAAGCAAAGCACAGCCTGCATAGCAGGGACAATGGACAGACACAGCCCCAACGTCACAAGCAGCTTCAGTGTCCTGAGTCCAAGCAATAATATCTTGCTCAAGTAATTTTATGCAGCCTTTTTACAGAAGCACTGAAGAGTTACGTTTCACTTGTTGGACACTTTAAAGGTTCAGCTGGGGCAGGGTGCTGGACATTGCTGAGGTCCCTTCCAACCTAGTATTGTATGATTCTATGAAATAACTTGCTTACTGCCAAGGGTGATCTCCCTTCCCCTCTTAGGCCTGCAGAAAGCACACCTGACAGGCAGCTCAGCTTGAATATGGATTCTACATACATGGATGGAAAGAAAGCCCATCCATTCACAGCCAGCCCATCTCCCAGCACCACAGTTGAAATGCTCAAGTCATCATCAGAACAACCTAGTCTAGCAGAAAGAAAACATCACACACTTCACCAAGCCCCTAGTGATTTTTCTATCAGGATGGTTTTCTTACCAATGCAATTCCATTTTCCTCCAATACCTTCAAGTGTGGAAATATGCTTTACTGCCAAAAATAAATTCCAGTCTCCGATACAACAATTTCTTCCCAAAGAATGTAGAAAAACTATCGTAATATGCCACTACTCCCCTGAACTTCCCAGATTATGTCAATAAAGAAAATTAGTTACTTATTACTTGCTGTCCAGCATCAGCATTAAACAAATAAAATGTGTAACTATATATAAGAACTGTGGATGATAAAATGCATTTAAATTGACAGTTCAGGTTTTTCTCTGTTTGTGTTTACCATCCCTGGTTGACATCATGACCCATGTTTTTAAGTGAAAACAGGAGCTGTTTTCTCCAAAATTACCTACAACAGCTAAAAACTTCTAGAAAAACACCTGTTACACTGAGATTTAGTGACTTTTACAGAAATCTCACTGAATCTCCAATCTACAGATTTCAATGTTAAAACTGTGTTGTAAATGGAGAGACATTTGCCTTTTCAGTAATAACAGGAAGAGGAACGAAAAAGAAAATGACAAAAGGGTGTGCAAACCCAGATTTTATAAAAAGGCTCAGCTGTTCTGCTGAAGAGCTAAATTATTTTATTTCATCTTAAATTTTGAAGCTTCTTTTTAAGTTTGCTTCAAATACATGTATTAGACATATTGCCTTTTCTCCAGAGAGGAGAGTATGTCTGATTACTCCAGACTACCTTATGACTTGTACGTTGAAGTCTGCTTATACTTTAATTACAAAACTTGCAAAGGAGAGCATCACCTTAAACAAAGAAACATTCACATTTTATTAAAAAAAAACACACAATATAAAACGATTACATACATTTTCAAGTTCTAAGCACTTTCTGGACCCTGCTGAGGCACAGGGAATGCACATTTGCACAGTCTGGAACGGCTCCTTTTTGCACACCTGACCTTCCTAACTCAGCTTCTGCCCTGGTTTTCTCTCCCTGCCATGGTTCAAGCTGCTCCCTACCGCTGTTATGACCACAGATGTTGAATACGCAGCTGAATACCAGCAACATGTTAAGGTATCTTCCCTTCAATCACATTTCCTCAAGGGTCTCTCTCTTACACGTGTTTCAGCTGGCAGAAGGAATAGTACAGAAGCCATTACTTTGCCTCTCTAAAACCACACAATAGCTTTTGGCTGTAGTTTATCTTTCCCAGGATGATTCATCTGTATTTAGCACCAAATATTACAAGTATTGAGGCACGCAGCTACATAGCACTGTGTGGAACTGTGCTTTAGCTAACAGGACCATTAGCATTAGTTTTGCTATCAAGCTTTCTACTAGTAACTTGCAAAAGATCAGGAGAGTGGATTCAACATTTTCCTCAAGAACTGACACTTTCTAAAAGACTATTTGGAGCAAGGCACTCTTTCTAGTGCTCTTGGAGCACAGCAGCGAATTTCTCAATACAGAGCTACCTAATGTTGTCAGAAAACAGACGTTGAGAAGACACAACATTGTTTAGCTCTGCTTGAAGGCAAAAGCTGACAATTTGACATTTGCAGATTGATCTAAAGGCTTTGTTTTTTTGGATAAATTCGAGTGCTCCGATTTTTGCTCCTCGCTCTTTTTCACTTCATCTTCATCAGCTGTGGGGCGCTTTCGTTTTTTATCTTCTGCTGAATCATTAACTGTTCCTCCTTTTGCTTTCTCAGTCCACGCCTTTGAAGCAAGTACATCATTACAAAAAAAAAAAACAAAACAAAACACAAATTAGGCCACAAAACTCAACCCTATTTTATACACCTTATTTCTTGGATTCTAAGGAAGCACTGAAGTAATTCCTGAACTTATTAGAACTAATTAACAACTAATAAGGACCAAATCAGGAACAATTTCCTCACTTTCCTTTTTTCTAACAACATTTTCCTTCAAAACTATACTTCATTTGAGCCTGTATATGAAATTGAGACTCTTGTCTTTCTGGATAAATAAGAAACCCAAAAGGCCTTAGAACAAATTCAAGCTCCAATGAATAAAGTGTGGCTATATCACCTTTAACTTCTTCCCATCTCTTTCATTATTTCTTTATTGATTACATTTCTCTCACATGCCCCACTTTGGAAAAAACGCTTTCTGCTATTATTTATTACCCAGACATCTTGTATTTTCATAAAGTGTATGTTGCAGATCATGGCCCAATTCAAAACTGAAGTCCATGAAGACAGAGAACAGTGGAATTTAAAGAAAAAATTCCCCAACAAAAATGACCAAGGGATTCAATGGAGAAAAAAAGGGAAAAAAAAAAAAGGAAAAAAAAAAAAATCAGAATTCAAGTATATTTTCTTACCATTCTTTCTTCTGATGACAGCACTCTAAATCGAGTCATGCCTTCTTTTATTACTTCTGCTTCGTTCAGATCAGGATTATCTTTCAAAATGTTTGCTCTGTTCTCTTCTAGCCATATTTGGAATCCTGTCTTAGGTCTAAAACAAGCATACAAAAATTGTCCATTTAAGATTATAGGAAAACCATATCCCCCAAAACAACATTTCTAAGCAACACCTAACTGGATTTTTGGTTCTTGAAAGAAAAGACATTTATAGTCATCAGTCTCCTATTGCAGTATGATTAAACGCACTGACAAGGCAGGACTAAGTCAAGCATTTTTATTAAAAGTGTGATATATATGGAGATTAAGATTTCAGTTCTAAAGTGTCAAAGCTTCTTTCCTGACAGGGTCCCACCAAACCCAAAACAGAGCATGTTTATTAGCAGGTTTCAGCTAATCCTTTTCAAAATTCTCCTTGCCACTTCTTTTAGAACATTATCTGTAAAGGTTAATGAAAAGAATGCTAGTCCAAATGAATAATAATTACCTTCATCTTCCTCAGTTAAATGAAGTCTAAATGAAACAAGATAATAATAATACAAGTTTCATGAAGACTGGGATTGTTAGAAAATACATCTGTTCCAGCGGAACATGACAGGTTAGCATCTTAGCTGGGAATAAATGTGCTCCTTAGGTGATCTAAGTTTTTTATTTGTTTTCTTTTTCGAAAACCACACTAAAATAAAGCTTTTACACTTTCACATAAACCCCTTAGCTTTTAGACTTCCTTTGAGATTTGCTAGACACGTTTAAAGTTTAAGTATTTCCTAGAATGGAACCGGCACAGCAGCATGGTTTCATTTATCATTCAAAGGTCATTTTCAGATGCATAAGTAGTATCAAGGCAAAAATTATTGCTTAAAGCCCCCAAATTATATTTTTCATTGTTCATTTATTATTCACTTATGCATTTATCTGTCTCAGGTTGATGTGAAACTTCTACTTTGACTACCGCTGTCATGCATGTTGGGAAAAATTTAGTGAGTAGAATGCTTTTCTCTGTGAATGTAATGTGGCAAGATGTTTTATGCAGGTTTGTCTGATAATATGCATAATATAAGGAGCAGTTTACTGAATTTCTGAAGTGGGTTCACAAACATGACAACTTGTGAGCTAACATTTTTATCTGATATTATGCTACTTTGACCAGTCCAACATCTTCAGAAACAAAACAGTTTTCGGACTTGCTATTCTACCAAAATTGGAGTATGGCATTAAGATGCCAAGTGACTACTCACCTTCTGTTTTCAGTGTTCTCCTGTGCTGTAACTTTTACTTCATGGGACCCATTTCCTGCTTTTTCCTCTCTTTCTTCCACTGTTTTTTCACTAGAGTTAGATGTATGAGCCTGGAAGAATGAAGCTGCTGAAATCTATAGAAATTGAGGTAAAAAGAAAAAAAACCCAAAACCATTAAAAAAAAAGGTAAGCACATCTCATTCTCAGACAACACGTACCATGAAGCCTAACAAAAACCAAGACTGTCCTGAAGACACAATAATCATTTGCATTAATAAAGCATCTAATCCATCCAATTTCAGCAGTTTTAATTCAACTATTTAAAATAAAAGCACAAGCTCCAGTGCAAATTGTAATTTCTACAACTGATTTTTTTGCTGTTTTATGTGCTTTTATAGTTTCTGCAGTATGCTTACATGAACTTTGCCTTCTTAGATGCTTTAGTTAAAAGTTGGTAAAATTTACTATTCTTTGCTCACCATAACAATATAAAAAGAGTAGAAACATTACCTGCTTGAATTTGGGTTTGGGAATCAGAGGCTTTATAACTGGAGGGCTCTGCTTGTTCACAGCTTGACTGCTAGATGAACAGTTTTTCTTTGAGTATTTGCTCATAGTGTCTAGAACATTTGCTGAAGGGACCACTGGGTCTTTCTTGTTAGAAGACACCTAGCAAAACAAATAAATAGACTTTTAATTTATTTTCTGTCACATTTCCTTCCTCTGTCTCTCCAAAATATCTATCAGTTATATTGTAAACTTTAGATACAATAATCTGTTTTGATTTTCAGAACACCTCAATCAACCAGCTGCAAAATTCTTACCTTAAATGGATTCACTCGTCCTTGGCTGCTTGATGCAATTAAAACTATTTAATAGGAAAGAAAAGAAAAAAAAGTAAAAATGTGTGCACGTATACACACACACACACATATAATATTAAAATCTATGAAGCAATGTGTACATTTTAGATGACTAGATGAAACAGGATTAGCCTCAGTTCCAAAGAGCAGGGCTAACACTCATTGTGTGTGTTCCAGCCTTTCTTCATCGAAAATTGAAGAGAAAAACTAAATCAAAGGCATTAACTATTTCACACCAAAGAAAAGAAGTTCCCACCAGGCTTGAAAGTGGCTGGATAAAGAAAGACACATTAATAACCCCATGACGGTTGCATTACATGTGCTCAGCTATCATTAGACATCAGAAATGCCACACAGGACCAAAGGCTTAAAATACAAAAATACAGGAAGACCTAGTACTTCCTCCACTCCCAAATCCATTTCCACTCCTATTATTTTTGCTAGAGGGTTAGCAGGAGGGAAGAATAAAGAGGCAGCAAGAGGCTGCATTCTGCCCCTGCCTGCTCAGACTCACAGTTCTACAGCCGGGCTGCTAACTGTACCTTGTAAGTACAAACAATAAATGTGCCTGTGGTTAATTACAAAAATCAACTGATCACTGTTCTTATTTTTGCTCTGTCCCAAAGAATGCCTTCGTAACACAGCCAGGCAGAAAACTGATTTGGCATTTCACACAGCTAAGGCTATCAGAATAGTGTTATGGAAGATCATTGGATGATAACAGTATCAACAGCAATAGGGAACCTCTTAAAAACACAAGAACAACAATCAGTGCAAGTTACCAATTTGCAGCACTGTTATATATATTAAATTTTGTGGTAATGGGAGAACAGAGAATGAAAATAGGAGCAAATATCGTGAAGCATGACAAAGTTCTCATCCTGGAGTATAAGATTTACTCACCAGATTTTGGAGTGGTCACCTCTGCTGAAGTGACACATTTGGAGAAAGGATTTGGCCCTTCAGACAAAAGAAAGGGGTGCATACTTAAGTGCACTAAAAAGTAATAGCATAACTTCTTTAAAACCAAAACCCCAAACAGACAAGTAAGTTAAAGCAAGGCAATCTGTATTTTAAAACATGATTTTTCATTTTCAAATTGCACACACACCTTTACAAAATCATCTCATCTCTATGTAGGTTTAACTCAGAGTCATATATTTATCACTTAAACCTTAAAAATATTCCTTAAACCGTGCCCAGCAAACTAATTGTCTATCAATTCAACTCCTGCAAGATTTGAGCTGCAACCAAAGCAACCATTTCACAAGGTGGCCTAGTCACACAGAAATAGTATCAAACAACAGAAAAACTCCCCAAGGCTCCCTCAAGCAGTTAGCAAATACAATGCATAAGCAAGCTGTGACAGAGCAGATGACATACAGTAAACATGTTTCTTTGCAGTGACTGCAGGCACAGTCTGAAATACAGATCTGCTTGCTCAGGTAAACACTACCATTTATCTCCAACAGAAAATTCCAGGTAACGGGAAGCTCAGAGGCAGGTATTCCTGCATAGCACCTTGTTATTCCTGTGTTTTTTTTCATATCAACACCCAAATACGACACATCAGAAACAACCAGACCTGCTCTAACGATGTAGCAGGAAACCTAGTCCCTGCTACAGCTGCAGTTTCAAAACACAGTGAAACATATGGGATTATTTTCTATTTACATTATTGTCTTCCAAGTCAAATCACTTGTACCAAGTACCTCATTTGTGGTGCCCTGTGACAGGCTGCGTGCTTATCTTTCCTAAATCTTATGTCAAAAGAACAAAATAAAAGAACAGATAGAAAACCCTAGTGTTTGCATAGTTCTGTAGACTGCTGAGTTACTCAAATGACAAATTATTTGGGAATTTTCCAGAATATTAAATAGGACACATCTAGATAACTTCCAATTTATTTGGAAAACATATTTTTCTTACTCTCTTTAAGCACTTCTGGTGTTTCTTCTACTTCTTCATAGGCATTAGCTTCCTCAGCATCTTCCATTTCTTGGTCCGGCTGAACATTTCTGACTGGCTGTTGCCTCCACTCTGTGGCAGAGTTGCTGTAACTAAATGGAAGGAATTCATCAGAAAGGAAGTGCTCACCACTTTCAGAAGGAAAACTGGAACAATGGAAAGCCAACTGACTTACCTAATTTAGGAAATAAGAACAATAACATTTGGCATTTATTTGCACTAAACCTCTGATTAAACTGTGATGATTGCTAAAAATAAAATAAAGATTCATTAACCACTTCAGTTCACCCTGAAGCACCAAGCGCAGTTGCCTAAAGTGGCACTTGTGCAGTCATAACAAAATGTTATGACATTTTTTCAGATGGATGTTTAGTAACTATTTTCCTTATAGCTGCACCATCCAGAGGCCAAGCAAGAACACAGCTCTTCTGTATGGTCTTGAAACCCCCCCCCCCCATCTGTTGCCTCATCACGCTTTACAAAGCGGATGCAGGTAGGAGAGGAAAGGTAGATAGCAGAAAGGGGAAAAAACGCAAAGCAAACCTGCAGTATTTGAAGAGCTGGGATTAGTTAGGAGGGGAATAAGACTAAATAGGATACACTGTGATGGGATGCTGAAAGGGGGGAATGTCTGGAAAAAGACAGGTATTTTTAAGGTAGGTGTGGAATAAAATGAGATATGGAGACAACGAAAAAAATAGGTTGGAATCAAATAACCAAACCAGCTCAAGCTAAGGGAAGGCAAAACAAAAAAGAAAAAGTCAAATAAAAGCAACTTAATATTAAGTCTGCTTTGCCTCTGAAGCTGTTGAACACATGCATACAGTAAGTAAGGTGTGGAGATATTTCCCTCTGTGTTAGTATCCTGGTACTAACAAGTCCTTACAAGATATGAACAAAAATGTACCAATTTATATGTACAATATTTAAGTAGAGTAACACAAATTTCATAACACATACATTGCAAACTATGGTCCAGAAAAGTCAACTGGAAAAGCATCAACTGGACCAAAATACTAGATAATCAGTAAAAACATTCCCAGTTTTTTAATAACAGAAATCTGTGTTACCCAGCATTCAAGTGCTTTCGGAAATCCTCTTCCTCCTCTTCATCTTCCAGTGCTGCTGCTAACTTGCTTGCTTTTTCTACAGCCATTTCACTAAGTCGCTGAGCTAAATTTAGTTTTCGAGAGCGAGAAGCATACTTGATGGCTAAATTCACAACGTTTTGTGTCATAAGGTCAGCAAGTTCCACGCAGCGAAATTCACGCTCCAGTTTACAAGAAAGCTGAAAGAAAAGAAGCCTTGAGAGTTACACACTTCAGCTACGCAGCTCTCTCCAGGACCAGAATATTATGGTCTTGGTGGAGTGAATGAATAAGACAAACCACCAACAATCATGAGCTGCATAGCAAAGAAAAAGCACTTTTTTCCCTTCTTCCTCCCACCCTTCATACTGATAGGCAGTAACAGTATCAACTGCAATCCATCTCTTATCATAGGCTGTGAGCTAGCTGGATTGCCAGTCACTAGCCAGGCTTCTAATAAGAATCAGATCAAAATTTACATCAAATGCCATCTACTCAAAGTCTCAGAGATTCTTTCTATTCTTTATTTGTACTTACGGCAAACAACTTCATTAAAAGTTCTTGCTGCTCTTTCACTGCCTGACTTTTAGCACTTTCATCAAGTTCATAGCCATTTTTTGATAGGTAATCCACATGGTTGTGAAATACAACAGAACGCCAGTACTGTTCCTGAAAAAGGGAGAAGGATGCATGCTGCAGGTCAGAGGAGGAAAAATAGCCATGACAACTTGCAGGAAATTTTATCAACTTATTCTGAAATGCTCCTTTCATCTTATAATGAGGGTGAGGGATAGACAATTCTCCTTAAAAGCTGATGCCTACTGAAGAAAAAAAACAGACCACAGAACCATCTGCATACAAACTGATCCAAACAAATCACCATATATGTTGAATTCCATTTATATTCCAGGCTTTCAGCAAGATGAGACATACATGTTCACTAGTATGCTTCTGGGACAGACAATTCTAGAACAACTTGGTTATTTTATCTTATAACTTCTATCCCCCAACAAACTGGAAGTATTCCAGGATAACTATAGGAGTAATCATCTGCAAGACAGGTAAACAGAAAATATAACAGGCTAGCTCTGTTACAAAACTATTAATAGACCTATTCAAACACAGTATGTTTTCATCAGATCTACTGGAATAAACTGTTTCTTTACCTACACAGAAGTACATAACCTGTCAAGTTTAATTTACAGCTCCTGTGGCACTTTCCATCTATTATATTGGAGGAGGCGAGATGGAAAACGCTCCATAGATGAAGAACAAAAGACTTGAACCAAATGAAGGAGAATTCATTAAAAATTGCAGTGTTTATTACTGAAACTTTTTTTGCTACACTTCTATCAAAGAGAATAAATTCAAATAGCATTAAACTGTCTCTAAGCTTGAGGTTAGAATTCTATATTTGTTTCTATTTTGTGCAGTACAGTTGAATACCACAAGACTGGAATATTTAAACCTACAAAAAAAAATGAAGAATAAATATAGATATTCTTCTAGTTCTCTGCTGCTATATCATGATTCAACCAGCCTCTACCTTAAGAAAATAAGTCAAGCCAGAATGCCTTTCAGAGTGACTATTTGAATATGGGTACTTAGTACATCTTTCAAAAGAAATCTTCTAGTGCTTTTGTTATGCCTAATATATTGAAAGACCAGCATTTTCCAGTTTTTGATTTGGACCCAAAAATCTGGTGCTTTTTAGAACATTAACCACTACCCATTAAAAATAATTAAAAAAGAAAGGACGAGAAAGACTTCATCAGTCAGAAACAGACTATGTGTAAATACAATCTTGCATCAGCTGTAGCAGCTTTATCTTGTATTCTTCTAGAAACAGTCATGAACCAAACCAAACCAGAAAAGCTATACAACACACACTCTTAGCCACACGTCTTACTCAGAGTTGTACTACCCTCTTTCATCGCAGAGATGATAAATAGGAATCCTGTATAATCTCTACTACAGGGACATCTGGGACTATCAGCTGTGGACTCAACACCATTCCATACCTCCATCTGGCCCTTTTCTGTTGTAACTTGACAGTAAGGAAGTTTGAAAGATAATATTGCTACAGCAGGCCGTGGTAGTGTAGGAGGGAATCGGGCTCCTTTACACGGAATACACCTGTGCAAGGGAAACAAAGAAAACATGCAATCCTCAACACCTAAAGTCACCAGTTGTTCTACATCTAAATCATGTCTCCTAAGCAGCAAGACAGTTTTAGAGAATTTGCTCTTTAAAAGGTAGTAATTAAATTACTGACTTAAATATAGCAACACATAAGATTGCGTTATAAAGGGTTATTTTTACCTTGCAACCGATAACAGATTTTAAAACCAGCAAAGCACATGCTGTTCATGTTCACACTAGAATCTCCAAATGTGGCACATAACAGACACAGATCTCTATCTCACACAATACACAATTTAACAGCTATTACAAAATGTAAATGCAATTTATTAAAATCAGACACTGGACAATTGAAAGCCACTGGAAAAAGAGCATGCATGTCTGCCACTTATATTGGGACTCATGAGGAGAGCACTGTGTTCAGATACACATGGGGCAGGGGGGGGAAGAGAGGGGTGGAAAAGATAAGCAAGATAAGCATGTATTAGAAGCATAGGCTTATTGTTTCATCATATTTAAATTAGTACTTTCTGGTAACAATAACTTAAACTATACATTGACTGGGGAAGAGCTGTATTTCCAGCAGCACCAATGCAGCATTGACAAAAATGTCTGGTTTTATAAACTGCTATTTCAGACACCAGAAAAAAAAAAAAAAAAACAAAAAAGAAGAGAACAGGAAACATTAGTGCTCTGGCTATCTGTGTTAATTAAGGCATATGGTGTTCCTACAACAACCCTCCCTCCTTATCTTCAAAATGCTAGTGGCTTTGAATAAAACGTTCTTTCCAACTCAGACAGCAGCACTCTCATTCTTGGAATAGAAGGAAAAAAACTCATGCTGACAGACTCATAGCCGACCATCTCATCAATGTGATGTGTCCTGTGCATTTTTGGTGAATTTTCTGGAGGCAAACATACTTAATAATCTGGAGAAAGAGCCAGACAATGAACTGATATTTACCAAATTATTTCCCTTATTACAAAAAAACCCCACAGGATTACAAAGAATGTCACATAAATTTAAATAAAACAGAGTCTCCCACCAACCTCTACAATTGTGCATGACTAGCAAAGTAGGAGTCTAAATTTCAGCAAAACATGTGAGCTGATGGATTCTGCCCCGAGAGGAAAAGGACACAGATCACTGAAAAAAGAGGACTACAGACAACTTACCAACTAAATGTCCAGGATGTGTGTTACAATAAAAAGAAACTGAGCTATGTAGACATCATCAGTGTCACATTTTATAAAGTAATGGCTAACGCTCAGCTAAATATTTGAACAATTTAACATACAGAATTGTTATCCATGGTCACAGTTTAAATATTAATATAGGGATATATATCAGGGGACTGGAGCACCTCCTGTATGAAGACGGGCTGAGAAAGTTGGGGCTGTTCAGCCTGGAGAAGAGAAGGCTGCGTGGAGACCTCACAGCAGCCTTCCAGTATCTGAAGGGGGGCTACAGAGATGCTGGGGAGGGACTCTTCATTAGGGACTGAAGTGACAGGACAAGGGGTAACGAGTTAAAACTTGAATAGGGGAAGTTCAGACTGGATATAAGGAGGAAATTCTTTCCTGTTAGGGTGGTGAGGCACTGGAATGGGTTGCGCAGGGAGGTTGTGAATGCTCCATCCCTGGCAGTGTTCAAGACCAGGTTGGACGAGGCCTTGAGTGATATGGTTTAGCATGAGGTGTCCCTGCCCATGGCAGGGGGGCTGGAACTAGATGATCTTAAGGTCCTTTCCAACCCTAACAACTCCATGATTCTATGACAGTTCTGATTCATCTATGCCTAATAATGTATATTATTTATAGGATGGGATTCTTTGCAAAGGGACAAAAGGGGAAAGAGCATAGCAAAAAATTAAATTTAGAAAAAAAAAAATGTAATCCCCCCCCAAACCATCCATAGCAGATTCCAAACAGCAGTCATAGTTTTAAAGTAGGTTTCTCTAGTAAAATGCAGTCTTATGACTGTTTCTGCATCAGAGATGTGTGATTTCATAATACACTGCACACACCTGTTAGCCAAGGCAAAAAGCCACAATTAGTCAGTTACAAATTATAAAACTGCTAACTGGTTTTGAATAAGCTCATTAATGAAACATCCATGCAGAATTACATTTATGAACTAGATCATTTACTGTGCATATTTACTAGCCACCCCTTTTACTAAAAGTTGTTTCCAGTTTCTCTTCATGAGAAGTGCTCTGTAATTTAAAACCAAGTCAAACAAATTGCTTCCTTGTGAAATGTCTGACCTGAGGTGCTGGGGATTTTCATGGATCCCAACTACCCAGTAATGATCAGATTTTCCTTTGCAATGCTCTCTCGTGTTACACACTGGAATCCAAGTATTCCCAAGTCCTCGGTTCAACATTCGCACGATTCCCTCCGAATCCACGTAACAAGGGGTACCTGTTTGTTACAAATTAAAACAATTATTCTGACAGGCAACTAATGCAACACGATGTCTGAACTGGTTAGATAACGCAGGGAAACTACAGATCAGGTATCTCAAACAGGACACGCACTCATTCAAACAGTACAATCTAGCTGGCGAAAAACTCGTTTCCTTAGAAAGATGCGCCACCTTCTGACAGTCAACACTACTGCTGGTCAACTGACAAGTTAGAATTTGAAACATTCTGTGAAGAAATCAAATTCATACCACTTGGGTAGATTCAGTTTATTTCTTTTTGTGAGCAGGGGAACCAATCAGGAAAGCAAGTGCCAATAACGTTCAAGCATATTCTACTCATAGTGGAAACATATTAAAGATTCTGATAAATACATTGAATAGAAAAACAGAATTTTGTTTAGCACTGAGACTGGGAAAAAAGTAAGTTTATGTTTCCAGGATCACCGTTACTAGAAGGGCATTAATTAGCCAAACTCTCCTCCAAAATTCCCCCAACGGTGTCAAGATTTCTCACTGTCACTCATGCTGACATTTCATACCTTCTGCAGAGAATCCAACCCATATCAAATATGATTTCTTTGTAAGAGAAAGAGGGTCTCCATGCAAAATCTGCTTTTTCTTTTTTCCTAGCTCCATCAGCTGTACTCCAAGGCACTGGTCCCCATCAAACCCAGTACCTAGGAAGAAGTTGTTCAATAGCTATGTCAGAAAACAGAAGATTTGTCTCTTGCCTAAATTTACGTTTTGACTCAAAATCTAATTCTAATGCAGGGTTACCCATGAATAACACTGTCAGACAAGCAACTATTTGTCATTTTAGACATACGAAGCACACATAACAACTACTTCCTTCATTTTCGTAGTAATTCATTATGGAATATCTGAAACTCAAGCTTAATCTATTAATATCACTGTTAAAAATTCTCCCTTTCCCCTCAGGTTAGTCTAGACATCCCAGCATAAAATGTAGGCTTTGCTGTCAGAAGTCAAAGATCTGTGGGTTCTGATGGACATGTCTGTAAATGCATCATTGAGAAGAAAAGAAAGATAGGCACAATCAAAAGAAGAAGGAAAAAAAAATATTTCTTTTGGTCCTTGTTATACAACAAAGCCTGTGGACAGGCTGGAGAGAGTCCAGAGAAGGGCCACAAGATGATCCAACAACTGTGAAGCCATGTGAGGAAAGGCTGAGAGAACTGGGCTTGCTCAGCCTAGAGAAAAGAAGGCTCAGGGGAGACCAGATCACCATGTTCCAGTACTTAAAGGGTGGCTGCAAAGAAGACAGAGACTCCCTTTTGACAAGGGATAACATGGAAAACACAAGGGGTGATGGGCACAAGTTACTCCTGGGAATATTCCGTCAAGACACAAAGGGAAAATTTTTCTCAATAAGAACCATCAGCCATTGAAATAATCTTCCCAGAGAAGTGGTGGATTCTCCAACACTGGACACTTTCAATATTCAGCTGGACAGGGTGGTGGGACATCTCAGCTAAGTCATGCTTTGCCTAGAAATGTTGGATGATGATCCCTGAGGTCCCTTCCAGCCTGGTATTCTGTGATTCTATAGTTACTACAAATTAACCAGTGTTTGAAGCCAGTAATAGACAAGGATTGAAAACATAACCCCACTTCAAAAGAGACAGAAGAGATAACAGTACCTCTGTGATAAATAACCATCAACTGCTCTCCATGTCCTGCCATAGACACCACTGGACCTGGGAGACTGAAGATCTCTTTCTGAACTCCTCCAACTGTAAACACACGAACTAGCAAGGCACTAGTGGCACAAGCAGCCCAGCCTTGACCTAGACAGATAGCTTCAATGTCTTCATCCTTTGGCATATCTACTGTCCATTCCTTGTTTGCATCCCATGAACTCAAATGAATGCAGTGGAGCTTGCTAAAGCAGAGACAAAGAACAATAGTCAAATGTCTCAACATGAAGAAAAATACAGTATCTCAAAATACACCAATATCTTAACGTTTTTTATCAGAGAACTGGAATATGTGATGGTAACAGAAAGGAGCTATAAATTCCAAGTGTTCATTTGCAAAGGTGTTACTCTTATTATTCAAGAACTGAGTAGCCAGCTTGACCTCCAGCACCGTATATTTAGAACCTCTAGAGCCTGAACCAGAGACAGCTTGAAGGCCTAGGGCGAGATTTTTTTTTAGATGAAAACAGGTAAATGTCCTGCTTAATTAATATTAATAAGAACTGAAGGTGCTCAGTACTCCTGAATGTTAGCCCTCATTATAAATCTGTCATATTATACTGTCTTTCAAAGGGAAAAAAAATGAGGCATTTCAGTTCTGCCATCTTCATAATTGATAACTGCCCATGACCAATGCATAGGCACTGAGGCTTTTGAGCTATTACCCACTCTTCCACTGAGAAAAAGTAATGAAAATTTCAGTCTGATAACCAATACATACAAATAATACTTAAAGTAAAGGGTGATTTTCAACTCATCACAATGCTGTATGTGTGAAAAGAAGGAGAAAGTTCTTTCTTCAAGATACTGAAAAATAAAAAATCCTCAGGAAACAAATTACATCTTTCAATGTTCTTGAAGACTTCAAGGGGTGGATGTGAAAATCCTAAAAAATGGCCCCATAAATAAAAAGCACATTCATAAGCCAAAAATCTCAAAAAAATTATGGAAGCTGAAATTAAAAGCCAAAATACTTGAAACAAGTGTAATTCTGTACTATGGGTTTTGCAGAGCAAGGTCATGACTTACCTTGCAAGTTCCTCTGTACTCTCACAGGCTAGTAAAATAGCTTCGGTAGAGAGGTCAGCCATCGTGTGATTCAGAGAGTTTGGCAGGTGTGTTGCATGATGTACAGAGGTATCATGAAATTCTACATCTATAGCATTGTCTTGCTCATCATTGTAACAGCGAATGATGCCAACAGAATTCCATACCTGTTAAAAAGAACACCGTCACAAAAAAAACAAACAACAAACCCAACAAATCAAGCATACTGCCCTAAAACAGCCTACTATAACTTTCTCATCTGAAACAACAGTAGGTGGGAGGCTGGAGGAAGACTGTAGTAGTGTAGAAGTCTTCTGTAGTCAGGAATCATAGTGTCTAAAACAGCTGAATTAGTCAGAAACTAGTTTCATCCTCATTGTTTAGCCATTTTTCTCCTTACAAAATTAAAGAAAAAAAAAAAATCCCACAGTGGATGATTAATGTACATGTCCTAACAGCACAAAAATATCCCCAAGTTCTGGCTCTAAATGGAATTTTTAAAAATATTTACTAGAATTACATTAAATAATTACATTATTTAGAAAGATTTACTAGAATTCAATAGCACAGGTAGAAACTACAAAGCTTTCTTTTGTCTTAAAGCCAACTATTTATTTCTACATCAAAAGCAACTGAAATATAAACTGTAACATTCAGTGTTTGCACTGACACAGAGATACTTTCTACTACTTAACTTTACACTGTGAAGTATTTAAAAAAAAAAAAAATCTCAGAAAATATTAGATTAAGACACAGCAGCAAGATTTACCATGAAACGATGCATGAGATGGGCAGGAGTGGAACCAGACTGGAATGGCTTCTGCCTGGGGGTTGGCACTGGCCCATCATAGAAAGGCTGTTGTGTAGATGATGGTGGTAAACCTGGAAAGCCACCAGTCTGATCATCATCATCATCATCATCTTCCTTTTCAAGAAGATTGGAATTAGCTTTTATCATCCCAATATCTAGAAGTTTAACAACAACAAAAACATTTACATCTAGCATATATTATTATTATGACAGAATATAGGTAAAAAAAGTCAAACAGTCAATATTTCTTCGGAAAAATAAGGCAGAATATATCCAAGCAGAGGATGCTAAGAGATTGTCCCAGTAACAGTGCTAAAGAGCTCTGGAAAATTAGTTCATTCTGTACCTAGTGAGTTATCATCATCATCAATTATTGTACGTCTGAAATGGCCTGAAGTTGGCTTAAGGTCATCATCATCAGCATCTTCTTCATTAGCTCCAGTCTTTGGGGAAGACTGTGGTTCAATCATATCTCCACTTAAATAGTCATCATCTCCATCAAAGAGATCATTGTAGTCCTTTGTCGCTGTACTGGTAACCTAAAAACAGATTAACAATCCTCATAAAACTTCTTTTGGACACAGAATTCACAAAATGAATTAACACACAAAAGGAAACTTTCAACACACAAAAATGGAATGTTCAATACAATTTCATAACCCAAATAACCATGTTAATTTAATAAATAATTGATACTGATCACCTTGTCATTTGATTTCTTTTCATCACCAATATTTTCCAACAACCCCAGATTTCCTTCAGTATCTGTGTAGGCGATTTGCTTATATTTGGGGTGCCAGGCCAGTCCACAAATTGTGTATTTTTTCTCATGCTTCATCCTAAAAAGAATATAAAAATAATGGAGTTTTAGTAAGCTGCTCAGGGCAGAAACCTTCCCAAGAGTTACTGTAAGAAGTGGTAATATTTACTAGTATTTTAAAGTAATGTTACACATAATAAATTAATAGGTCACCTTTAGAATAAACAGTTACTATTAAAAAATACAGCAAGGCTTCTTTTCTATGGAGGAAAATCATACAAGCTTAAAAAAAAAAAATCAAACAATCATATTCTTAAAGCAACAGCTTCCTGATACACGTAGGAAAAAATAATTCCCAGAACCAGCCAGTTATAAAAAGAACAAAGTTATAAAAAGAATAAAGTTATAAAAAGAATGTTCAGTACCAAACTGATGAGTTAATCCTCTTTTATCACAATAAAATCCTCACATTAATTATTTACATACTCTGACTTTAATTCTTAACATAGGTGTTTTTATTACTATAGTAATATTCATGTTTCTTACCCAAAATATTCCAATATATATCATATATATAATATCAACTATATCTTCTTCTCTACCTCACTTAATCATACCCTTTTTTAATTTTCTTTTTTTGAAAGAGACGCTTTAACTAAGATAAAGTGCAATTTGTCAGTTTGTCCAGTTTTGCTTACAGGTGAGGTTGGCTGACTGATGAATCTGTGTTTCCCTCTCCCTTTAAGTAAATACACCTTACTGCCAATGATCTTCAGGTTTGAGATATGATGAAAATTCGTTTCCACCCAAACTATCCTTTCTCAACTATTAGATTTAAAAACAATGAAATGTATTTGCGCACAGAATTTGAACAAAATCCTCATTAATGTCCCTTACCTATTCTATTGCTAAGAATGTAATGTTTCCAGATTTCTCTGGCTATGCAGAAAAGAAAAGAGTGTATCACATGAATCAGAACATGCTTCTGAACATACTGGAAATGGCAGGGGAAGGCAAAACAGTGCCACGTTTCTACCTACCACTAAGAGTTATACTTGTGTGGAAGCTGCTTCCTTGTAGAACATGGAAATAACATAGGAACCCTTAAATTACCTTGGACTGCAGTATTAGTGCAGCTCACTTGAGTTGCACAGGGAAGAGCCCTTCTTTTAAGAGATATTAGAAAGATTAAATTAGGATCTAGATGATCTTTAAGGTTCCTTCCAACCCAAACCATTCTATGATTCTTGCTCCCTTCCAGACTAAAGTCTAGATCAAGTGGTGGCCCTGTCTCCCAGCATCACTTACATCTAAAACAGTTTTTGTAGCCTCCATGCTTCAGCTCCGCCTCAGTGAATGTGCTCCCAGCTTCACCATCAGCCGGGAGACCATGTATGAGGCAAGGTAAACAGCGTTCTTCAAACAGAGCCTTCATATGTATCCTAGGTGTTTGCTTTCAGTGAAACAGTAGCAGAAAACTTAGAGGTTTGCCCTGTGTCCTGGTTTCGAGTGCGATAGAGTTAATATTCTTCCCAGTAGTGGGTACAGTGCTGTGGTTTGGATCTAGGAGAATAATTTAGGAAGAGTAACACACCAATGTTTTAGTTGTCACTGAGTAGCGCTTACACTAAATCAAGGACTTTTCAGCTTCGCACACCAGCCTACCAGCAAGGAGGCTGTGGGGCACAAGAAGCTGAGAGGGGACACAGACAGGAGAGCTGACCCAAGCTGGCCAAAGGGACATTCCAGACTACACAACATCATGCTCAGCATATATAAACTAAGGGGAAAGCTGGGCAGGGGCTGTTGCTCAGGAACTGGTTGTGCATTGGTTGGTGGCTGGTGAGCAATTGCACGGCGTATCACTTGTTTTGTATATTCTAATTCTTTTAGCATTATTATTTGTTTAGCTTCCTGCTAGGTTAAACCATAACGCCCTGTAAATCTTATTAAGGCTTTTCAAGAAGCAGAGTTCTGCATTTACACAAAAAAATGTAACACAGAAAAGATAACAAAGTTGTATTTCAAGAGAAAACATGTACTTAAGGATTTATGGAACAAGACTGAATACCTCTCTATGCACTTCTGGCTTTCCATATTCCACACCACTATACACCCATCCACACTTCCAGCTGCCAGATACTGCCCACAAGGAGACCAGGCTACAATATTCAAGGTCTAAGGAGAAAAAAACAAAACAGGAAAAAAAAAATTACTGATGCATGCAAAGCATTCATATTCTGGAGATTAAATCAGACATGTTCTGGAATAAAAAAAAACAGTAATAATGATCTTTAGCAAATCATATCAAGCTTCCTGTACTAGAGCTGGCTTTAGGCACTTCCCTGAAAGAAACATTCTTTGCAGATAGCACACTTTTTTAAATGAGAATATCCACCTTCTGTCATTAAATGCTGCCATGAGATTGAAAAAAACTGATTCCAGACATGCAGATGGAAGCATGGTATATTTTCCAAGCTCAACACTAGACATAGCTGTATTTAACTTCACACAGGTCCATAGATCAAAATCCAAGACTGTGTGTTCTGTATCTTAGTAACACTAGGAAAATACATCTCTTTAATGTAAAGGTTTCAAAGTATATAATGAGGTCAAAAGAAAGAAGATGGCACCATTTGAGCTACTATGTAGCTAAATTTTAGCTTAATAAAATACAAAGTGAACAACTGATATCTCTGTTCTGTACAGAAAAATACTCTTGAAATTTTCCCTAAAAAGCTACGTTTTTAGAGAAATATGTGAAAACATGTTCTTCAGCTGCAGCTGGTGACTTGCCAGTAGCCCTTACAGATCTAGTGGGTTATTATAAATGAACGAGGGGAACCAGAGACATGTTTGACACTAATTTAGGATCTCTTGCCTTGTTTTCTAACACAAAGTATCAGGATCACAAGTGAAATAAAATGTAAGTAATCATTACCAAGGGCAGGGGAAAAACATACTGCCTAGAAGACAGTATCTAGCAGAATAACATTTACATTATTGAATATTTAGCAAGAACCTGTTTTATATACCTACCTGTGTGATGAATGTATCTGATAGATCAAATTGACTATCCCAGGTTTCTCTTCTGTATAGTTTAACAACTTTATCTACAGGAATTGCCAGCAACTGCTCAAAAGATACAAGAATCAGCAATTTAGAACAAGTTAGCTTTCATACAGAACACTGAAATAGCATAGTTCCTTCACTCAGAAGTATTACAGTTGTGACTGCCTCAGTATTTAACAGTTCTCTGGCATCTCAGTTTCTTGTCTTAGGCTGAGAAAGTTGGGGCTGTTCAGCCTGCAGAAGAGAAGGCTGCATGGAGACCTCACAGCAGCCTTCCAGTATCTGAAGGAGGCCTATAGAGATGCTGGGGAGGAACCCTTCATTGGGGAACTGTAGTGACAGGACAAGGGGTAACGGTTAAAACTTAAACAGGGGAGGTTTAGATTGGATATAAGAAGGAAATTCTTTCCTGTTAGGGTGGTGAGGCACTGGAATGGGTTGCGCAGGGAGGTTGTGAATGCTTCATCCCTGGCAGTGTTCAATACCAGGTTGGACAAAGCCTTGGATGGCATGGTAGTGTGAGCTGTTCCTGCCCATGGCAGGGTGGTTGGACCTAGATGAACTTAAGGTCCTTTCCAACCCTAACTATTCTATGATTCTATCCCAGTAATGCCAACTGAGAGAGTAAAGAAAGCTGAAGAAACTTGAATTACAAGGTTCTTTAATGCCTTCCACATGCAGCACAGCAAATCGTGCCTCGAGTTATTTTAATCTTTATTTCTTCCTGGCTGAAAACTGAAGATAATGACAGCTACACCATAAGGTTATAAGTTCTTATTTATGAAGCAGTTAACAGACATATAAACAGTTTTCAATGCTCTGGGCACAAGGCTTGTGTTCTCCTTTTTCCTTACTCTCCAGATCTCTTTTGATCAGGTTACAATCTCTCAATAAATCCTATTGAATACCTGATTCCTGAGCTCATTTCATCCTTCACAAAACTACATAAATGTTACTGCATGTTTCTTTTTTTAGGATTGGGAGGATTGGGTTTTTTTTTAAAGTCTTCTAGCAATTTGCTTCATAAGAGAACTTACATTTCAAATACGTGTATTTGCGTGAAGAATTAGCCTAAAAGTTGAAAGGATTTGTTCTCATGCAATATGGATATTGAGAAAATTTATACTACATGTGACACTCTCTCTTCCACAGGAAAGTTATGAATAACATTATCACAGCAGCCATGAAGTTTGAAAAGTGGACACAGTAAACAGACACAAAGGATAAATTGAGGAAACAAGATTATTCAGGTAAGAACTGTGAGGACACACTGGTAAATGCTCTTCAGATCGAGTATGTCATTGGAATGTCAATAAAAAATGAATAGGTTCTGCCACACTATTATCACAGGCAAGAACAGAAGCCATGAAATAATTTTTGCGAACGGACAACTTTGGCTCAATTCTCTGACCTTTCCTTGAAGTCCATTTTATACAGGTTCACATTTATCTGCCCCTTTCACCTCTCTGCATTATCAGATGTTGCAGAGGTGTTCTAGATATGCTACAGAAACATATCTATAGGTATACTAACTCCCAGACCCATCTTGATTAGCAATCCATACATACTACAGTTGTATCAGTACATACAGATTGCACTAGGCATGTAGTACCAGCACCACCATTAAGCACAACAGAATTAACTTCATTCTTCAGGTGAAAAGGAAGGCAACATCTTATTTAGGAAATATTTACAGAGCAAGATTACTAATAGGCCAAAATTTACTTAAAGCAGAGAAAAACTGAACTCCTTCAATGCTCTGTTGTAAGGAATTTGATTATTTCCCTCATGTACAATGTTCCTTCCTCTTCAGCACAACACAACTGTTTAATACTGCTTTAGGCTTACAGCTGGACTACTGCCCAACACAGTCTGGAGCTTAAAAGAGTAACCATTTCCAGGTCTTTATTTTTCCTAGAAATAAACTTCACCCCAAATATTTTCCTTAAGTCCTAGAAGCTTCAATTTTGGAATGCTCAGACTGAATTCTACTGTTGGACCTCCAAAGAGAAAAGAAGGACTAAGACGTGTGGCTAAACCAATGTCACTTACTTTTCCATTGCCAGGTTGCCATCCCAGCCTGCATATTGATTTAGCATTTATCACATCATTACACTTCTGCAGCAGCGGCCAGCTTGTCGTGCATGTCTGAAAACAAGATATTTAAAAAAAAAAAAAAAAAATGGTTTTTAGCTCTGCAAAAATCAATTTTAGAGTAAAAATTCTTAAAGAAAAAGTGGGGGGGGGGGAGGGGGGAACCTTAAAAGGAAGAAATATCCTGGGTTTGGAACTGAAATAATCTCTTTCATACAATTACAATGAACAAAGAAAAATGAAAAAATACCTTGCCAACATACATCTGAAACTATTTTAATGACAATACAACTACTTGTAACAGAAACAAGATCACAGAAAAAATGTTTTTTAATCCAGTACAGAAAAAAATGAGCTTACATATCTTTAGGTTATAGAGAAATCTGGCCAAAATGCATTTGTCAAATCCAAATCAAGTGCAGCAAGGTGACACACATCAGCTCGAATATTGCCACAGCAGTATAAAGAATGAATATTCTCAAATTACAGCACAGATACATACATCATATTCCACAATCCTAGGACACTGTTAGTGTAATTGCTCCAAAAAGCACCCGCTGTCAGTCTGGAATACAAGGCATCCTATCATAAGTATGCTTTTGCTTTTAAAAAAGTAGCAATCCACAAATGCAAGGGTACATTTACAGCTTTACTTACAGGAATAATTCCACATGGATTCTTATTCCATTCAATGGCATTTAGCAAAAATAATCCCACATACATATGCAGAATTGCCTTATTAAAGGAGTTATCCGAAAACATCTCTGCAAGTTCCTTAGATTTCCAAGAGAAGAGACAATATCTGATTCTCTCACTAATTCACTGATTCTCCCATCTGATTTTATACAGGTCCTGAACTATTTTAGTCAAATATTGCCAAGTTGAGCCCAAAGACTGTATTTCTAACAAACTGTGTTCTTTGAACTGTGATTTATGTTGTTCTGAGAAATTCTGTGAAATTTGTAACAAACAAAGGGAATAGTGCTTGCAGCCCAGAAAGCCAGCCGTGTCCCTGGCTGCTACAAAAGGAGTGTGGTCAGCAGGTTGAAGGAGGCGATTCTCCCCCTCTACTCTACTCTGGTGAGACCGCCTGCAGTACTGCATCCAGCTCTGGGGTCCCCTACACAAGAGGGACATGAACCTGTTGGAGTGAGTCCAGAGGCCACAAAAATGCTCAGAGGGCTGGAGCACCTCTGCTATGGAGATAGGCAGAAAGAGCTGGGCTTGTTCAGACCAGCTTCTAGTCCCTAAAGGAGCTACAAGAAAGCTGAAGATGAGCTTTTGACAAGTGCCTGTAGGGACAGAACAAGGGGGAATGGCTTTAAACTGACAGAGGGCAGATTTAGATTAGATATTAGGAAGAAGGTCTTTCCTGTGAGGGTGCTGAGGCCCTGGCACAGGTTGCCCAGGGAAGCTGTGGCTGCCCCATCCCTGGCAGTGTTCAAGGCCAAGCTGGACAGGGCTTGGAGCAACCTGGTCTAGTGGAAGGTACCCCTGCCTGTGCAGGGGATTGAAACTGGATGGTCTTTAAGGTCCCTTTCAACCCAAATCATTCTATCATTCCGCAAATAGCAAGCCTCCCTTCAATAGCCTTAAACTCATCCAAATTGAAAAGGTTGAAATGCACTGAGCTTAACCCCAAGTCCCAGGAAACTAAAGCCGCAGGCCACAGGCAGAAGGCAAGGGACACTGAAGCAACATTGTGTCCAAAGCCCCTACCAAAGGAAAACCTTAACATCATGGTCATCATCTGGGTGATCCTGGCATGTGGAATCCCGATCTGTTACTAATCTCAGGTCAGAGTAACTGTGTTCCTAATGAGACTAACCAACTAAACCACATATAAAAAAAGATACTGTGTAACATCTCAGAGCATTCTTCCACCTCCACCTGTCAGCCTACAATCCTGAAAATTACTCACAATTTCATAGGAAGCTTGGTAAGAATTAATAAAACCAAAATATACCCAAATAGCTGCTTATTAGAACAGAAGTCCTTCCTTCACCCTGAAAGCAATGAGCTAAAATTCTGAAATAAGGAGATATCTTTACTCAGAGCAGTATTTCTGAACATGCCAAGGACAAAATACACAGCGTTGGCCAATTAATAAAAATTGATGGAAGAAATCATAGATTCCACAGGCAGGAAGAGCAATCCACACTACCCAGGCAACAGTTCATAATCAAACTTTGGGATTTCTCCCAGTAGTAGATAAAAATATTCTGTAAAGTGTAGTTAGCTTTCTTCCCCCCAAAACACACCTACCGCAGCAGGGTTATTTCAGCCAAGCTCTTCTCATTGTCTGTGAAATCCTGGATTTCTTATGAAAGACTTAACTTTGAAAGGCAGGCCCCTTACCTGATCTGAAATTTTCCATACTCTGACAGAACCATCACAGCTCGCCGATGCCTATGTAAGAGATTTTTGTAAAGAAAATAATAAAGACAGAGAAATCAATGCTACAAATTTGAGGAAACAATCATTATAACCATGTATATGGAGTTTTGAAAAGAAAGCCTCCCTGTTTAAGCCATTTTAAGGCAAAAAGGTTTCTAATACTGTCATCTTCATAACTGTACTTGACTCCAAGCTACTAAAAACCCTCACACTTCAACTGAGCTGCTTATTTGCAAAGGAGGCTCAAAATTAATATTTATTTAGTCATCTTTCCCACTCTAAAATCAGATCAGCATTCGATTCCAGAAGAACATAGACAGTAATTGAGTTGTAAAGCAAAGACTGAGCTCCCCTGGGAGGCAATAAATTGTGACACACTCCATCATCAGTAAGGTCAGCTGAAATGAAGTGGCCTCATGTGCCCAGTCACCATTTTATTTGTAAAAAGTATTTATGCATTTTCTTTCCCAGGGAAAAGGAGATTCAAAGTAGAAAGTAAATAAGAAAGTGTTTTTACCAGGTAAACATCCCTGGGGTCAAAAGACAGGCTTAAAACAGGAGCATCGTGCCCTCGGAATGTTTTCTGCTTGCTGCTATCAGTCACCTCCACAACTTTGACGATGAAGTCACTGCAGATCACAATAGCACAGATGTATAAGTATTAACATTATGTTAACAATGACAAACTATGTGTTTATGGCAATAAAAACTGAACACTAAATATATTTGGGGGAAGTTACAGCTCTATTTTTATCAGAAAATATTTTTTGTTCATGCCCAAGTTCATAAATTATGGTTGCTCTTTGAAGAAGATTTTAAGTACACATAGACCACATACCTGTTTAATATAATATTTATATGACCTAATGAAAACCTCTGCTTAGATACCAGAGTGCTGACTTAACAAGAACTATCTGTTGAATGAGACCAGTACTCATTACTATAATTATTGGGTAATGTAGTTTAAAAAAAAAAAAAAAAAAAGCAAGTAGTTCATTTTATGACATTTTTAAAAAGATTTTTAAGACCATTTAATGCATCAAATACATTAAAAGATTATTTTTTTCACAACTTTATTATTATAGCCATTACTGCAGTTTAGCTCAAAATATCAATGTTAACTTCTAAGCCAAAGAGCTCCTGCAACAACCTTTCAGTACCACTCCGTCTCACACTTCATTGCAAGATCCTTCGAGAGAAATCTACTTTTAGGATCTACCAGTTAACCAGTACTTTAACTGTATTTAGAAATACAAGCTGAGTTTTGACAACTATTTAATGCTAATCAAACAGTCATATAAAGAAGGCTATGAGCTATACTGTCATACAACTAATATTAACACTCTTAAAAAATGCAAGACAACTTTAGAGGAAAAAAAAACCCTACAAATAAACAGGCAATAGGACGGTTTTGTTTATTTAAGAAGCCACACAACCATTTTTCAAATAATTGAAGTGAATTTTGGCAGCCAATTGGATGTTAAATTAAACTAAGTTTGCAGACTTCATGTAAAAAATTGAGAAATCTGGGACCATTAAAAGCAATTCTTCTTAGCTGCATACCTTCATTTCATGGCTGCCACCTTCTCCTTCAGTACATTACAGAAGATCTCACCAAGCAGCGGCCTCACAGTCTTATGAGCTCTTTTTCCTAATGTGAGTCCCCTGGCCAGGCTGCAGAAGTACTGGGGTTTTGTAAATGTTTTAGGAACAAAAAAAGAGTTTGCTGTGTGCCTAATCTCTTTAATTAAAGTCAGAGCTGTCCCCTCAGAAACAAGCACTGGCAGAAGGCCTGACCCCAAGATCCCTGTCAGACTTAGAGATTACAGCAGTTACTGCCCCCAGCTGCCCAGTTCTGGTGGCCCTGGTGTGCCTGCTCCAGTCGCCAGAGTGCAAAGCCCAGCATATTCATCCAAATTTCTTTCTAGTTCAATTCACACTTAGAGGAGCCAGGGAGCAGATGTAATACTCTGCCATCTCTACTGTGGAGGACAAATTGTAGTAGATGGGCAAGGGGACAGCCTGAACTAGCTACAGCTGCCCAAAGACTTCACTAAATACAATTAAGAATCACCTGAGCCTTAAATAAATAGGGGTGGGGGTGGAAAATATTGCCTGCTTGCTGTTTTGCCATCTCTATTAAAGGAATAGCATATATTATGTTAAAGCAAACATCCTGCCCTAAGAAATTAACTAAACTATGCATTTAATTCCCTTCAGGCAAGCCTTGCAACCGTCATCCGTTATCATTTGGCAGAATGGTGATGATATGTACGCTACAGAATGCTCCTGCACAAATTAGAACCCATCTAACTTTTGCATGTATGTATATATATATGCAGCATCATGATCCTCAACAGTTAGGACATTGGCACACAGTAACAAGATCCTTGATGCTGTGATCTGATCCATATGGGCAAATACTTATGCATTATAGGACTGAAAGCTGAAAAAGCTGAAAACACTCAACTCTTCTTAAGAAATTGAATTATTTCACAACACCAGATTTCCATTTAAAATTATTTGGTGGATCAAGTATTTCTCTAGGCATTGTTTCCTAAAGTCCTTTTCATTCCTTTCTCTCCCCCCACCTCCAAAAGACATTTTACAATAAAAACCCTCAGAGGCATGGGGATGAATGATCTCATTGGTAAAAACCAGCATGCAAGGAAGTTGCCAGATTTTGAATGACAGCAATGATTTCCCTTATCACGCACAGATTACCTAGATCCAGCAGCAATTTTGGTACCATCACTATTAAAGATGACGTGGTTTGCATTTGTGGTGAAACGAGTAACGATGCCATCTGGAGCTCCTTCAGGAAATGTATGGATCTGAACAGCGTTGTTCGATACTGCTGTGATAAGTCGTCCATTCTAAAAACAAAATCCATCACAAAATTTGTTGTTTAAAACACATTTATGCCTATGGAGCCAAAACAAATTGCTCTGATGTTCCAAATATTTGGGCAGATTAGCTTTAGTACTCCCAAAAGAGGTCTGACAGTAAAAGTAATAGAAGAAATATTCTTTAACTTTTATTTCTTAAAAAAAAAAAAAAAAAAATACAAACAGGCAAAGTAACCTTAATATTTTATCACCAAGCTAATGAGAATAGGAAAACCATGCTCTTCCTTTCAATCTTGTAGAAACACACTGCTAGATTTAATACTGAAACTCCAGTTGTTTCAGCAGACTTAAAATTCGTTACATTAGCTATATGGCAAGTTACTGCATCAAAACCTTTCCAACATGTATTTTTACTAAAAGAATGCATACTCAGAGTCACTAATGAATTTCAAAGGGAACTGTCTGATCTGCTTCTGATAAATATAAAAGTTGTTCCTTCTACATAGACAAGAAAGCTTTTAGAATCTTGCATCCTATTTAGATTAATATGCTGCTGTATCAGGAGAGGGCACCCTTGCACCGAACTTCTCAGTTAAATGCCACCAGGAAAAGATGAAAAGTTCATGAACTATACTTAGTTCTTCTCAGAAAACACAAGGCAGTTGTTTCTTGAAAATGAATCCAGATTTAAAGAAGTGCAAAACTAATAATTATCCTATACCTGGAAAAAGAATATCTGCTCCCCAAGCGACAATGCTATTCCTCAGTTTTACGTAGCGGGAAGTTTTTGAAATATTAAGGAAATAAATTTTCTTGAGGGATTCTTTTTGCTTGTTTGGGTTCAGGGAGGAGATGATGTTACACTTTTTGATTTCCAGGCTGTCTAAAGTTATAGTAAAAATTCTGAAGATAAATAAAGCAGCAGCCAGTACTAAAAAAACCTAAGAGATGAGATTTATTACCTAGGTTACATCAACACCTCAGATCAGTTCCTCATTTTTGTTAATGAAGAGTAATTTTTGAACTAAGTTTTCCTGAAGTCTCACAATGCATTGTTCATCTCACTGTTTAAAAATAAAAAAAAATCCCTCAAAAGTAAAAGCACTTCACAGTAAAATTAAGAGCACATGATTTTTCCTGCTGATGTCAAAAATTAAAATCAGGATTTCTCTCGTCTATTCATTAATAGTTGTAGCAATTTCTGGCTTTGCCACTGATTTGATAAAAGAACTCACTCAAGTCACCTCACTTGGTTTGTGAAAGAATAAGCAATGCAAAGAAAATAAACAGCAAAATACCCTGAAAATCAATGTGACAGGTACTGCAGAATAGATACTTGAGGTATGTTTAAAGGGATATGACAGAGGTTTCACTTAAGGCAGTAGTTCTGAATAAGGTTTCAAATTACTATATTTACAAATATAATACCTATATGTTAATCGTCATTTATTTCCTCTTTCATCCTTCCCTCCAAAATCCCAAATAACTGAAAAACAATTTTAAAATTCTTCTTTATCACTGCAAAGTTAACCACACAATATCTGAAGAACTGATACTCTGGAATTGTTTTCTTCTTCTACAAGACCTTTCTTCTTCTTAGACCTTCTATTATGAATGTAATATAACAACAATTGTACACAAAGAACATACTATGAGAATTCTCAAGCTAACTACATGAACATGCATAGTGAAAAGAATTATTTTCTATTAAACATTTATATAGATAACATGCCTTGTTATTTGCAAATAATGACTTCTGCAAAACATAGTAAAAGGAACTTCCTTAGTATTGAAAAAAACAGACCAGTCAGTCGGACTGCAGAACTGCCTCTAGTCGGCATACTCACAAACCCTTACAGCTTATGCAAGCAAGAATCCTGTTCTCTTCTGACTCTGAGAATGGTGGGTCAGAGGCATCTTTGGGCTAAATGACAATTTTTAGAATGAAATATCAAACAATTATAAAAAAAAGTATTACCAAAGCATGACCAGACTTTGTGAAAGTAATTTTTTATTAATACAGATTATAATTCCTTTAACCTTAAAACAAGCCCACATAAAACAACCTCTTGGCTCTTTTTCCTAACACTTGATGATCACATCTTACGCTGGGAAAGTTTTTATAACTCATATTGCGAGAAAACACTGAAACTGCCTAAAAAGTTCACTGAATAATTAGCTTAATCCGATGGATTTATTTCTCAGAAACGACATTAAAGTCAGAAATAAGTATAACAATATGAAGGAAGAGGAGGAAAACAAATATTACAGAAGTTTAGTGTAAGGAATAACATTGCTACAATCCTGTATGGTTTAAAATGAATTGTCAGAAGTATTCTTGATTTATATAAAATACTTATTTCAGCTAAAATATTCAAAAAGTCTATAGGCACATTTAATCAAATAAATTTCTATGTATTTCAGAAAATTATATTTTCATACTGCTTTGATATTCTCAGACATAAAAGTACAATATGTTCATATGCTCAGATTTGAATACCTGCTGCTCATTATCACAGAATCATAAAATCAACCAGGTTGGAAAAGACTTTTAAGATCAAGTCCAACCTTCACCCCAGGACTGCCAAATCCACCACTAAACCATGTTACTGAGGGCCTCATTTTTTTTTTAACACTTCCAGGAACAGTGATTCCACCACTTCTCTGGGAAGCCTGTTCTAATACCTGATCACCTCAGTGAAGATATTGTTCCTAATATCCAACCTAAACCTCCCCTGGCATCACTTGTCCCCATTACCTCTCTCCCTATTACTCGCTACAGGTAAGGTAGCCGATCCGCACCTCACTACATCCTCCTTTCAGGTAGTTGTAGAGTGGTAAGATTCCCCCTGAGCCTTCTCTTCTCCAGACTGAATGACCTCAGTTCCCTCAGCTGTTCCTTGCACTTGTACTCCAGACCTTTCACCAGCTCCATTGCCCTTCTCTGGACCCACTCCAGCATCTCAGTGTCTCTCTTGTAGTGAGGGGCCCAGAACCGAACACAGCAGGGTGAAGCCTCACCAGTGCTGAGTACAGGAGGATGATCACTTCCCTGGTCCTGCTGGCTAAGCTATTTCTGATACAGGCCAGGATGCTGTTGGCCTTCTTGGCTGCCTGGGCACAAACTGACTTATGTTCAGTGGCTGTCAATCAGCATCCCCAGGACCTTACATTACTCTGAAGATAAAAGTCTACATATTTAACATACAGCAGACTGAAATGCACTTCATACACTATCGTTCTCGCTTTTTTCTGTATATTATCCCAGTATATGTTTAACATTACCCACACAAGCAGGATCCCTGAGCTTGCAAATCCAACATCTGTACAGTCACACTGTACATCAACACCAGTATGACATAAGTTTGAGTTCTGTAAACAACGATACCTTCAGAGCGCATGAATAGGCCTTTTCTCCTACATTAAAGGACGTCGGATCATCATCATCCAGATTTTCCCAAATCCTAACATCTCCATCACTGCCACAAGTTACAATGCAGCTGTGGAAGGACATGGGATATGTTAAAATTCAGGAATGGACAAGACAGTCACTGTGACTTTCAATCACAAAATGAAAACATTACTAAAATGTTAGGGGGTGAGGGGTTTATATCAAAACACAATTCACACAATGCAATACAGTGAATACTTACATTTATTATGTCTAAGTAACTTATTAAACATGAAGGGAGGGAAAAGTCAGGTCTGGGTAGCATAACACAGTACCACGAGTCTCTGACAACTGCCTAGGCCTGGCACTCATCTGAACTGACCCTTAGATATTACTGGTCAATCCACTTTTTTCCAGAATTTAGAGTGAATTTTTCAAAAGACTTAATTAGTACCAATTTCTCCCAGAACTGGGTATTTAACTGCCTCTTAAGACTTCATAATCAGCTGTAAGGTAAGTTTTCAAAGGTCAGGACAAAACTAAGAGTGTTAATGCTTACTTGAGTGAAGTTTAACAAGCTTAAGATGTAGGCCTGGGCCTACAGAACCCTTAAAAAATAGTAAATATGGAATTCAAGTTTGATGGGGTTAACTTTCACAGTTTTAATGCAGTAAACAGTAACCTGAAGTCACAGGGCAAATATACAGAAGTTTGTGTGGAATTTTTAATCAAAGACATCATGAATCTATAACCAAGACTTGCATTCTTTCAAAAGTTGTTTGCAGTCCCAAATAAAACTAATTAAGCAGCAAAATGTTACAAAGCCAGTGGTAAAGCAGTGACATTGTTCTTCTCAGTTCTGTAATGTCTATACTTTGACAGCAACACAACACTGTGCTGATATTGAGTATACTGATGCTAGAGGGTCCGGCAGTAGTGGACCAGTGGTATCTGGCAGAGATGTCTGCACCCATTTTTATTTGCATTGTAATGGCAAACGAAGCTTTTTGTGGTTTCAATGGATTGTTATTATACTAACTCTTAACAGTAGTTTTTGTACCAAGTCTAATGAACTAAAGAAAGGCATAAGATACTATAGACTTCATAGAATCATAGAATGATAGAATGGTTTGGGTTGAAAGGAGACCTTAAAGCCCCCCTGCCACAGACAGGGCCACCTTCCACTAGACCAAAGCCCATTCCAGCCTTGTCTTGAACACTGCCAGGAATGGGGCAGTCACAGATTCTCTGGGCAACCTGTGCCAGTGCCTCACCACCATCTCAGAGAAGAACTTGTTCCTAATGACTCATCTAAAAAAAAAGCCATTAAATTTTAAAGCCATTCCATCTCGTCCTATCAAAGAACTTAAGCTATACTCAAAAAACTTACCCTTTGAGTTCATTCTGAGAGGGCTTGCTCCCTTGTTTACCTTTTATTTTTAATCAATAAAAAGATAATAGCAAACATTCAGCTCGTATTTATACATTTAAATCTAGCATAGGAATAAAACAAAAAGAAAGCAAGCCCAGTACTGGATTTCTTCACCTATTTTTAATTTCTCAGTGCATATGTGAACATATTTACTCCCACACTACAACGATTTCTGCTAGATTCTAAGAAATCATTTATAAAAGGCACATATAGAGTTTATAAATATACACACATATATATATATGCTAACATTTAAATTATAAATCAATCACTTCAACACTCAGGTCATCAAAATATGTCACATTGCCAGTTCTCAACACAGGCAAAACTCAAAAGGATTTCCCAGACCAAGCCAGGTCATAAACTCATACACAGAAGCAGCTGGTGAACTTCTGGGAAAGCAACAGACAGGAGCAAGAGCATTTCCTCTTCCAGACTACACTTCATCCTGGTTTCTAGGAATTACTGATTTGTTTCTGGAAAGAAGGCAGCTCCAGGGAGACGTTAGAGCAGCCTTCCTTTAGGTACCTAAAGGGACCGACAAGAAATCCGGAGAGGAGCTTCTTACAAGAGCATGTAGTGACAGAACAAGGGGGAATGGCTTTAAACTGACAGAGGGGAGATTTAGATGAGATGTTAGGAAGAAGTTCTTCCCTGTGAGAGTGGTGAGGCACTGGCACAGGCTGCCCAGAGAAAATGTGGCCACCCCACCCCTGGCAGTGTTCAAGGCCAGGTTGGATGGGGCTTGGAGCAACCTGGTCTAGGGGAAGGTGTCCCTGCCCATGGCAGGGGGTTGGAACTGGATGAGCTTTGAGGTGCCTTCCAACCCAAACCGTTCTATGACAATTAGACAGTTACCTCCCAGTGTCATTGAAGCAGACGTCCGTGTGGCCTTCGGTATGGCCGTACCGCATTGGCTTTAGTGCAGATGGCATCTTCACTCTCACCTGTTTATTTAGTAGGATAAAAGACAAATAAAATTAACTGAAAGGAAAAGCTTCGGTCCGAGCCTCAGACAGGGTCAGAGGGACACAGGGCTCGGCCACCAGCTGTCCCCAGCTTGGCCTAAGCGGGTTAGAGCCGGGCACATGTCCGAAACGGGCCTGCACCTCCTTACATCGAAAAGGCCAGGCCGTGGAAACGAACCAAGAAAGAAAAGAGGGGAAAACCGGGTTACGGGGGGGGGGGGGGCGGACCGCCTGCCGGGGCCTGAGCCTCAGGCGGCCCGAGCAGAGCTAGGCCACACTACCCATCGGCCCTGGAAGGGACCCCCTTATCCCCCAGGAGGCCGCAGCTCCCCCAGCTCCGCCCGCCAAGGCAAAGGAAGGCCGGGGCCGCACTACCATCCACTTACCGCCTACAAGCCCGCCACCCGCTTCCAGTGTTCCCGCGCCCGGCACTGCCGCCCGGCCCACCCTGGGGCCGGCCTCTGCTCGTCAGAGCCCGGGGCGGGGCTGCGCTCAGGCGGGGCCGGGGCTGAGGCCGGCCCCGGCCCGCCGGCAGAGAGGGGATGGCGGCGACAAGCGCTGCTTGGGCCGCCTCGCAGAGATTCAGCTCCGGCGGCTGAGGGCACCCGGCGCTGCCACCGCCTCGACCCCGCCGCTGCGAGAGCTCGCACACTGTGGAGGTGTCGGCTGCCTTCTTCCTCCTCCTCGCCCCGGGTCAGGCCGCCCTACCCGGCTGAGAGAACGACTTGGGCGGCGAGCGGCTCCGTCGGGTAGGGCAGCGCAGCGCAGCGCGATCGGCCGCTCCCTCAGGGCGATCGTAAGTCGGGGTCGGGAGGAGCCGGGCGGGCGGCGGCTGAGGCGGTGGCGGTGGCGGCCCGGTCACCGGGTGGGCTCGGTCCCCGCTTTTGCTGTGGAAAACTGCGTGTGGGTGCACACCGGTGTATATATCTTAATATATGAAGTGCATCTGCGTTTACTGTATATGCTTACTTACGTTTAATGGCAGAGCCTCAAGAGGCACAGGGATCGCAAAGAAAGCCTAAATGAGGGGCAGTGTCCTTCATCCCCCCTTAGCTAAAATCCCCATAACAACCAAGTGTTGCAGAGAGGTCGGGGGTGTTCCGGCCCGAGTAAAGGCTGCAGGATCAAACCCATTTGGCAATCGTTATGGTAATTACGGAATTACGCTGTAATTACAGCCATCCCGATGCGTGTGCTAGATGCAGTTGACAGTGGTTGTAGTTAGGCAGGTAGCGACTGCGCTGCAAAAATCATTAAGCTTTCATGCGCTGAAAAATAGGACGAAAACATCGTGGTTTAATTTGATTTATTTCTTGAAGGACAATAAAATGTTAGAGCTCAACACACCTGAAATAAGGATAATAAAAGAAACCAAACCCGAGTTACGTGTTTTCCCTTTATGTAGCTTTAATGATCTGTCCTAGTTTATTCTTATTTCTAAGAAAAATTGCTCCCAGGCAAACCCCTTTTACCTTCAGTTTTGCTCTGCCGCAGTTACCGGTGATTGGGGTGAGCAGAGTAATTTCTATTGGAAATGTGGTTGGGCTCTCTGTGACAGCCACATCGTCGGTACTTTCATGAATGAGTAAGTGACAGCATTACAAAGCAGGCACGCTTCTCTTTAACAGAAAAAAATATGCCCAGATTTCATTATTAAACCTCGTGGCTGCCGTGTAGAGACATGTTTTCCATGGGTGTCTCCTGACATATTTCAGTAAATCGTGATTTCTGGTGAGGATATAGTGTTCTAGCAAAATGATTGGAGTTCAACTGTGTATTAGATGAGTGGGAAGACCGAGCTATTCTTACTGCAGTCTTAATGCAAGCCACTGCCTGGGACAAACGCATGTCAACTGTATTTATTTGTCTTTATTATTTTAATTTGCAGAGACTCTCATGCGAACTGTACCTAAAATATTTTACAATATAAAAGCCGTTTTAAATTCGGTTCTATTTAACAACTAAATTCATTGTTTCAAGGTGCTTCCTGCTGGAATAACTCTCTGGCACGGGAAGACTGGGGGGAGGTTTTTCGGGTGGTGCGGGGATTCCACGGCTATTTGGCCAAGGGACTGCAGGCCTTGTGGTTTGCTCACGTCTGAGGTGGCACGGCATCAAATGCAAAGTTATTCTTTAAATCCGGTCAGGAACTCAACCTGCTGTTGACTTGATTAATAGTTGTAAGTGGCTGCGAGTGGAGCAGCAGGGCGGGAGCCGGGAATCGCGCTGCTCTCCTACTCGGTTTCTGGGTGGAGCGTGAAGTGTTGGTCACGGACCATAAAGCTTTTACTGATACAGTGTTTGAGAGGCTGCTGTGGTCTGGCAGGCTCTGCGTGCGTCTCTCCTTCTGCACATGAGCAGAGTTTCATTAAAGCAGTAGATGCGAGCAGCCCTCACCTTTGGAACCTGCTTCCAGATCACTTCCACCTCCTGGGTATGGGTAAAACAGTGTTGGGGTTAGGTGGGCATGGCCGCATTGCCGCCCTCCTCCTGCAGGTACACAGACCCAGGGCGAATCAAGGGTATTCCAAGGAAGAAATATTGTAGGTTAATTACCACCGGTACCTTTAGACAATCACTTGCTTTCTTGTGTGAGTGTGATTATTGCTTTAATTGGCTGGAAGGGCCTCTGGAGTCAAGCTTAGGTATTTTTGGATGGTATCATAAATCAAAATAAGCATTGTTAAAACTGAAGAAAAATAATTTCAGACAGAGGAATTGAGACTTAATGTTATCCTTAATCAGCTGGGTTTTTTTCCAAAATAAGTCAGTAACAGCTCAACTTCAGTGGGAAGGTCAGGTTTTAAAATGCGGTCTTGTGGCAAAAATCTAATTGGTGAAATTAATGAAAATGGCATATGACTGTTAAGATTTTTTTAAAATAACTTTTATGCGAGTTGAAATTAAAAAGTTCTCCAGTTTACTGTAGCTTGCTCTTCTCTCTCAGGATTTTATTAGCTCTAGAAGAATATCAACTTCTATAACAATTCCAAGTCTGATTTATTGTTCCTTGTGTGAGTCTCCTTGTTTAAATAGAGGCATAATAAAGCAGTGCTTTGGTTTTGTGTGCTTGAACAGAAGACTTTCATAAGACTTCTTTCACTAGAAGGGTCATGCAGCATGGGAGCACCAGAGAGGTGGTGCGACCTCTGTTCTCAGAGGTTTGCAGGACATGGCCAGACCAGGACATGGCTCCCCTGAGCCCACGCTGCCAGCAGTCTGCTTCCAAGCATGAGGGAGGGCTGGAGACACGCCATCATCTGCTGCTTCGTTATACTGAAAGGGAAGTAGTTTAATGAAGACTTGGAGGTACTGGGTAGAGGCAAGGATTCAGTGGCTCATGACACAATTATCTAGTTAAACCAATTCAGTATTTATTGAATAAATTAAAAAAGGAAGGTCTGTCTACACTTATGGCTTTGATTCTCCTATTGGAGTTATTGACTATTTGCTGCTGATTTAATTAGACATATGGTGAGGCTGTAACAGTTGTTGATTGCAGGCTACCTCTGGCTAGGAGGTAAAATTGTTATTGTCTCCAAATAGCTGCTAGATACGGCTTTCAGTTTGGGCTTGAAGTCTTAGTGTTGAGGCATCAGTGCTTGAAAGAAAAAGCATCTTGTGCAGCCATCTGTACCCCCCCCCCCTCCCCCCCGCAGCCTGGCGAGAGACGTGCCTCTGAAGGAGGGAGCTGTGCACGTTTTAAAAACAACAACAAAATCCACCCAGCTCTGCTTGTCCTCAGGAACTGTAAGCTGTGACAGTGCTGGATAACCTTGAACTACAAGCCAGATCCTTTGGCCCGAAATGAACTCTGCTTATCGCTGCACGTTGCTTTATCTTTGCTCTTAGATATAAGAGTTTCAAGCATAAGGCTTTTGTCAAGTCTGCCTGCTTCTGAGATGCCTAAGGTATCCCCACATAGATAAAGGCTTTTGTAGGCAGGAGACTTTTGTAGGCAGGAGACTAATTATATCTACCAAAGGATCTCAAAACAGTGTTGGACTCCTCCATTTAACCTTGCCTGTAGGGAAAAGTACTCTGTGTCTTCCCTCTTTTATCCTGCTCTTTCACTTGCGTTCCAGCCATTAATGGATGTACGGTACACAGCATTTCCCCTGGACGTTTTGAAGTGAAAGGAATAGTTGGTTTAGGTGCATAGCCTTAAGTGGTGATACCGCACTGAATGCTTTGCTGCACTTTGTGCCTTTTTCTTTCGGTCACCCAAATTATGTTTGGTTCCCATTTTACTGGGCCTGTGAATCACGAATTTGAAAGGTTATGAAAGCATGACCCCTTCTTGGAATGCCAAACAGTGGGATCTGGGCACTTAAATACACTCTGACTGATGCGTGTTTCAGAAGGCAGCTTGCCTGTGAACACGAGGACATTTGCAACACATTTGGAAACAGAGGCTTTATCTCCTGACTCACAAGCTGACCATTGACCCATCCTTTACTCTTCCTTCACAAGGTCAAGTCCAAACCTGGTTTTTGTAGGATGACATCTCTTTTTCTTCATATATTCCATGCTCTTTTCACAGGTCTGGTGTTATGTCGGATTAGCAATTACTGCCCTGACAGAATTGGTGCCTCGGTTCCAGCAGCCTTCAAACCCCAGGGAAACAGCTCTCTGTGTTGCTGGCTAATGGGCCATGTCTTACAGCATCACGTGCTGTTTCTCCAGTTTAAGTTTCAGGGTTCAGGTACCACTAATGGCTCATGATAGAAGAAAGGTACAAAGTAGAAGGTGCCTTTATAGTTACGTACAACAACAACAACCCAGGAATGACATGAACACTGAGCTTGCTTCAGTTGCAGACTGAAGTCAGGACATAACAGGCTTTTTGTACAAAACTTCTGGGTTTGTACATTTGGCAGTTTTTAATTAAAAGCCCATATTCTGCTTATTCTTATTCCTTATGTGGACTGAATATGTAGAATGAGATAGTTGAAGATTTTAAAAGCAATTACAGCCTGTCATATCCTAAATTTTAAGTACTTGACTTTGCAATCTCAGTGGTATCTCTCTGTCCAATTAAAAATCCCATATATAGGGAGTTAATGTATTTTACCACAGGATGAATCTAGAATAACTTTTTGTCTTCAGTTACTTCTAATTATCACCAGGGTAAATGAGATTTCTTTGTTTTCCTCTTTTCTAATTGTGGAGAAAATTCAGTGCTCTACTCTAGTTGTTTCTAGAATAAAAATATCAATGTTACAAAAGCAATCCATGAATCTTGGTCAAAATGTTTCGGGTCTCAGATAAATGAGACCTGTCAGCAGGTTTCTCCTATCTGCATTACATCCTGCAGTGTTTTCACTGAAAAGTGGTTTGCAAAATCCTGAGAAAAGAAAAAGAGATCTTTATTTTCAGCTTTGATTTGTAATCACTGGAATATGGATCCCATTCTGTAATTCTGCTTGGTACCAGTGTGGTGCTATTCATCTAGACTGCTTTAATGCCAGCAGGTTTTCAACCTATTTGCAATATTTAACCTCTCTTACCCTCATTCTACATCTGTGCTTCTCCTCCCTTCCCCTTCCTTTTCCTTTCCCCTACAGCTCTCAGGTTTGGGGGTTGAGAATAACGAATGGAATGTCCAAAATTCCTGGGTGGAAGTTACATCTAGGATGCATTTGGCCCACAGAGTGCATGTGAGCCTTTTGGCACAGCAGTTTTATTCTTTTACTGAAAGCAGAGGCTCGAACTCGGGCTGCACAGCCCCGGGGGACAGCAGAGAGGTTGTGTCATGCTGGCTAATCCTGATTGAATGGAGAGAGGAAGTGGATGCCCTTTTCTTTTCCTGCTTAGTATTTACCATTTCAATTAGTTAAAACAAAAAACCTAAACCAAAACATTGAAAAAAAAACCAAACACACAACTAAAACCCCATAGCTAAAAAACCCCTCAGTGGAATAGAGGAGCCCAATGTTGTTTTGGTGAAAAAGCATCATGATACGTGATGGGAAACATTTCTGCATTCTGCCACGCCTCAGGAGAGTATAGCATATATAACATACTGCTATCTATGTAGGTTGGAAAAAATTTGCTCTACTTTCAACTGGATAATCATAAGAGGATTCTTTTTTTTTCAAAGTGCAACATTCTAAAGGAAACCTCTTATCTGTTTGAGAATTCAATATGCTTTTGGAAACAAAAGAGAATGAAGTCAGCAACCGTAGGTTTCAGAGCAACACTGATTTTAATAATGTAAACTTCCTTCTCTAACGAGCAATAAGCAGTTCCATCTTTCACAGCCTTTTAAAATTGCTTTGAGTAAGGTACTGGATTGTTTTAATCCTTTTCAGTATGTAAAGCCCCAGATATTTCAATCCCTTAGGGGCCTGGTATTTTCTAGCTCCATTCGAAAAAGCAGAGGAAAACAGCTTTCAGAAATTGATGAAATCTGTCATTGATATAATTTTTTATTTATTTTTTTTTTTCATCCAGAAAGTGACCCAAAAGTGTCATTTAAGAAACAGATCTCTGGCGTCCCACCCTGTGGATTAGTCGCAAACAGGCATATCATCTAGGTACAGTAGCTCTTTGTACTCTGACCTAGTTGCTTCTGTTCTGGCTTGTTCCTTCTTGAAAGGTTATTTGGAAGAGATACAGAATTTGCTCATTAAACAGCTCAAGAGTATCACTTGCCACATGAAGCCCTTCCGTTTAAAATGGACCCTAGCATAGTAGGGGTGCCAACACGCAAAACTCTCTGCTCTGCTGTGTATTCAGAATGGATATTCTAAAAGCATGTAAGGTGGTTTATTACAAAAGATGTTCTTCCTAAGGGAAGGTTAAGATAGCCCTGTCTGGGATCTGGCTGGTATTTTTGGGGTTACTGGTTAATTCATCTTTATCATATTACTTCCCATTCTTAGCAATCGGTTGTTGCTATTGTCCTGTATACACTTGCATTGGTCTTGTGTTAGCTGTTAAAGCAGCTGTGTTTTCTTTCCCCTTAGGTATTTCCAGAAAGTGCCTCAAAGAAGCTTCTTTATGTAGGAAAACTGTGCAAGAAACGTAGTGTGCTTTCTGGCAACTCATGAAGTAGAGCTGTCAAAATGGCAGAAAATAAGGACAATAATATTAAAAACGCAGATGTGAGACCCAAAAGCAGCAGGAGCAGAAGCGCGGACAGAAAGGATGGTTATGTCTGGAGTGGAAAGAAGCTCTCCTGGTCAAAAAAGAGCGAGCATTGTTCTGATGCTGAAACAGCAAGTGCTGAGGGAAGATCAGGGACTAATTTAAGGAGCCAAGAAAGGAAGTATAGCTGCTCGTCTATAGAGTTGGACCTAGACCGCTCATGTGGTCACAAGTTTTTAGGCCGATCTCTCAAACAGAAGCTGCAAGATGCTGTGGGTCAGTGCTTTCCCATAAAGAATTGTAGCAGTCGGCACACCTCAGGACTGCCATCAAAAAGAAAAATTCATATCAGTGAGTTAATGCTAGATAAGTGTCCTTTCCCTCCGCGCTCGGAGCTAGCTTTTCGGTGGCACTTGATCAAAAGACATACAGCCCCTATAAGTCCAAAAGCAGAAGACTGGTTAATTGCTGATTTATCCCAGCATGAGGAACGGGATGATCAGCTGCGAGATGATGAGATTGCCAACGGGGGAGTGGACTCTCCCTCCCAGTCCGGTGACTTTACGGACAGCAGTTCCTCTAGGGGTGATTCAAGGTATGAGTTGGTTACAGGTAAGGTGGTAAGGAGCAGTAAAGATGAGAGCGATATGGACTCCGATGATGAAGTTGTAACACTGTGCACAAGCTCTAGGAAAAGAAACAAGCCCAAATGGGAAACGGATGATGAGCTGCTACGGATGGAAACACCTCCAAAATACCATACACAGATTGATTATGTCCACTGCCTAGTCCCAGACCTCCTCCAGATCAATAATAACCCCTGCTACTGGGGAGTCATGGATAAATATGCAGCTGAGGCGCTGCTAGAAGGAAAGCCAGAGGGAACATTTTTGTTACGAGATTCTGCCCAAGAAGACTATTTGTTTTCTGTGAGCTTCAGGCGCTACAGTCGTTCCCTCCATGCACGAATAGAACAGTGGAATCACAACTTCAGCTTTGATGCCCATGATCCTTGTGTTTTCCATTCTCCTGATATCACGGGACTCTTAGAGCACTATAAAGATCCAAGTTCCTGTATGTTCTTTGAACCACTTTTATCCACTCCACTGAACAGGACTTTTCCTTTTTCTCTTCAACATATATGTAGAACAGTTATTTGCAACTGTACAACTTATGATGGTATTGATGCACTTCCCATTCCTCCATCGGTGAAGCTGTATCTGAAGGAATATCATTATAAGTCAAAAGTTAGAGTACTCAGGATTGATGTACCAGAGCAGCAAAGCTAGGAAATATTTTTGTGAAAGAATGAGATTGTCTCTAAGCAGACAAATAGTATGTTCAGTCTTTCTTTCTTCTATGGTGTTTTTTTAAATAGCAATTTGATTTATTTCTTTTTCCTTCCTGCAGATTATTTACCACCCGAAGGAGCCTCTGTCTAAGGCTCTTTTATCCAAATGTACTTTGATTCTTCACAGCTCTCTTTTTTAGAAATGGTACTCCTTGTGGGCTTTTGGTACTGTTCCCAGACTAGAGTTTTATGGAATTTCAGGTAGGCTTTCTGGTATTTCTATAGGTAGGTAGTCTTTAGATCTTAAAAAAAACCCTAAAAATCAGTTTTGAACTTGATCTGTCTTTTTTATTGTAATTTACATGTGTTGCTGACATGTTTGAAATAATGCACTGTTAACTAAAGATTGACTCATTTGTATTTTCTGCATTTCTTTTAAAATGAGTGCTCTACCCTCTGTGTGCGTGTCTGTCTGTCCATCCATAGCTAATACAGCAAATTCATCAGTCTATTTCTAACATGACTATTCCAAGCAAAATGAAGTTTGAAAGAGGATATGATCTTTCTATAAATATATCAGGGGACTAAACACCAGGGAGAGGGAAAAAGAATTCAAGTTAAGGACAACACTCAGTACAGGAACAAACTTGTATAAACTGGTTGTGAAAAGATTTTGCTTGGAAAAGAAAAAGCTTGTCCCCATCAGAGCAATGCAGTTCTGGAACAGCTTTTCATTTTGTATAATAGCAGTAAAAAGCAAACTACTCGTAAATTGGGATTTGATCAGTGTCTGGAAGGGATAATGGTACAGTTACTAATGATACATGGGGCTTGGACTTGGTAACTGTTTCTGTGTTACTCTTTCATTAGAAATACCCAGTTTTCACTAAAAGAGCTGCTGCTTCTTATATGCTAAAGCACAGAGGGAGGGAATGAAGATATTTCCTTAAAAATCTGCATATTAAACTATCTGATCTTGCATGGTTGATCCTAAGGTGAAGATCAATAACTTTTCTCCTTTGTCAGTAGGAGAGTTGGTATTTTAATAAGTATAGTTAAAAAAAGTCTGGAGATTTTTCTTGCAACGTGAAGCATTTGGTCGAATGGCCTCCTGCCAAATTCCATGTACGGGAAAACCATGCATGGATAATGCTTCTAAAAGCATTACTTACATTACATGGATAGGAAGATCTGCTGCTGAATTACTGGTGAAATCCCACCGAGACTCAGTGGATCTGTGTTCAGGCAAGAAACTATTGCTTTCCAGGCTGGCCTCGAGGCAGAGGCACAGCTCCAGGAGGTGCAGGAGCAACCTGTAATTCTGTTGTATCCATCTGTATGTGCTTCAATTTCTATCTGAATCTTTTAATTTCACCTTGTACAGAATCCGACAGGTTTGTAGACATCAAATCTGTCCTTCAGGCTGGGTACTCTGGAGTTAGCAAAGATTTGGCACGCAACTCCACCTGCCACCTGTCTTGTCCCCTCCCTGAGCAAAGAAAACCTTTTCCACTGAACTGCTGTCACTGTGATGATGTAAACACATTTCTAGGGACATCTGCTTAGAGACCAGCCTGTTTGTTTTCACGTGTTTTAAATAGGTTTTGAACCAAAGTCTCCAGGGAGAAAATGCTAACACATCAATCTATGGCATCACACATGGATGGATATGCTACAGGACAAACTCTCAGCTGCTATAAATCAGCGTGGCTTTATTGATACACTTATACCAGCTGAGATTCTCCCTCCTCCATATGCAAATGTAATAGCATGACTGATGTCAGAAAAATTACCCTTTTTTTCTGTCATCTTTTCCTTGCGCTGCTTCCATTCAAGTGACATTGCCTTTTGCATAAGCTGTGTTTTATCAAGGCCAGCTTCATACTAGTAAATCCCTTTTTCCCCCCTATCACTACCATTTTCCAAATACAAACTGAGTGAGCAGGAGGGTTCATCTCCGCTCTGTTCTTTTCCACAGCACCCATCATGGTGCCGTGGTGGGCTGTGGTTTGCCACGGCTGCAGTGCAAAGTCCAAGTCTTGACTTTGCAGAGTGACATCAGAGATATTTGCAATCTGCTTCACTAGAATTCTCTTTCAGAAACTCTTAATTAGGGCAAAACACTCATCGTTTTAGAGAGAGATTAGCATTATTATTTCAAGAACACAAAAAATAGATTTTGAGCAAAAGTCATACTTGAAAGTTAGCAAAGGCCACCACCTCTTTCAAAACCAGCAGATTTTGTCCCTTAAAAATGAAAGGCCATTAAGCAACCTTTTTTGGGGGTATAGTTCCCTGATGCACTGTGTTTTCAGTGTCATAGGCAGCCTACATTGTTTTGACATTAGTCGATGCATCACTTACCCAAAAACTTCTTGAGCACTCCAAATTTAGGAGACCTATATAATACAGCAGTTGGGGGAAGAAGGTGTGGTGCATAAAAATAGTGCCTTTGGACTGTGGGCCAGTTAACTGCGTTTATTTAGAGGAAATCAGATGTAGAAAATACTGACAAATGAGCTTTTGTGGAAATTCACCCCATTCTTTCCTGTTTTATTTGTCCAGATCATACCTGTGTGACATTTGTACCTAATGCCATTGAGTTGTGTATACATGTGCAGTCTGAGAAAGATCTGTTTCATGAAGTATGCATTTTTTTATGAAAGAACTCAAAAGATCTATTTTGCTTAAATCCAAGTGCCCTTTTATCTTTTTTCTCTCTTTTTTCTTTTTCTTTTCCTAAGACTTGTAGAAATTAATTGATTTTACAGTATGCCAAAAATTGTGGCCCTAAATTTGTCCTCCCACAGCTGCCATTAGCAGTCTTACCAGTGCTGCTCACTCAAATAATCTAACACCTTGATCTGAAGTGTGATCCAAAGGTAGCCAACTCTTTGAAGTTCAGTGTTAAAGCCCTACAAAACAATTAGCCTCAGAAACAGGAACTTCCATTTTCTAAATCCAAGCTCTTGCAAGATGGAGATGCCAAGTTCTTCAGGATAAAGATTAAACTTAGAATGAGGAAAATATGGAGGTGTGTGGAAAAACACATGCTCAAGGCTACACAGCAGGTCAGTCAGTTGAGTGAGGACACAATCCAGAGGTGACCCTGGCCACAGCCCCTCCATTTAGGGGTAGCTACCTGTCATTGCATTGGGAATTGTATGCGTGTGACGTAGTTTGTGTTGGTCTGTAGGTGGTTCCATAGGAAGATAGTATGAATACAGCATATTGAGTCAGTGTGAGCAGCTTCGGGTAAGAAAAGAGATCTGATTTTGATAAAATTATTCCGATATGGAGGGGTGGGAAAAGGTCAGGTTCTTGGTGCACACTGGACAAAAAACATACACAAGCTATTTTTACAGGATGGTTTAAAAAAATTAAATACTCTTTCCAATAATTGTGTTCTCTGGAGTTTGCTTTTGCTTGAAGTGACTTTTTGCAGCTCTATAGTCATGCCAGGCGTTGGCCCAGTGCCGTGAACACAGAGCAACTTCAGCTCCATTGATGGATTTGGTGTAGTTTGTGTGCCCGGTAGTTGGGAGTACCCATTTCTTCTCCATTTTCCTATTCTCAGCACTTGTCTTGAAGAAATACAGGTCACAATTAGAGAAGGATGTCTGTATCTATAGTAGCATATCCAGCTTGAAAAGAAAACAAATGCGTGATCATAACTGAAATGCTTTCCTTTCAATGATACCAGTGTGTTTCCAATATAAAGAAGAAATCCTTGTATGATGCAGTCATGCATGGCTTTACTGTAAAATTGACATGCTCTTAAATAATTAAGAGGGGGGATGCTTTAATTTGGAAAAAGGATGCTGAAGGAAGGAGGTTAAAGGAAGCTTTTAGTCAGCTCTAGTCTTAGATTTATTGATCTAGTGATCAATCCCTTTCTCTTTCCTGAATTTAAAGCTAATGGGAGACTGTGGTCAGAGATGAGTGGCTTTTAGTTAAGGTTTTTGACTCTTATAAATAATACAACAAATCTCCTAGTAAGTAATAAGATATAAGATACTCCCTCATTCTTTTTAAATAGAACAAATGTGGCAAACAAGACTCAGCTGTAATTTTTGAAGTCATTTATTAGACAAATTGCTCCTCTCTACTTCTTTTACAAGAGAGACATAAACCATTATATTATTTATTCATGAATCATAGCCATTAAGATGATAAATCAAATTATCAGCTTCCTGTCTGTCTTCAGTTTTAATCATTTTTTATAGTTCATGCAATATGAAGACAACTTCCTTCCTATGAAACAAGAGACCTTTAGAGACCTTTTTATTGTAAACGCACATTTCCTTCCCATTTTTAAGTATATCCTAGTGATTTTCTCTGTCAATTTTATCTGCAATAAAAATCCAATAAGGAACTTGTCCATTGATTCACTGTAGGAAAGGCAGCTATGAAGTAAGTGATTTTGGTTAACCTCTGAAATAATGGAGCACTGGAAAACACAGTTAAAGGATTTTTTTTTCTGCCACCCCTAACGTGCATGATACTATCATACATTTAATAGAGATAGTTAATAGAGATAAATCTTGACACAAGCTCACATACTCATGGTAGGGCCTTTCTCAAAAGGTTTAATGTGACTCTGCAGTAGTATCACTTTTAAAAACACATTTAAGCTTACTTTCTCTGCTACATTCACGCAGCCAGAATGTCTTTGCCTCTTCCCATAAGGTGGGAGAGCTATGGTTACTTTGTATGAGCTGAGATGGCTTCTCACATCCTTTCTTCGCTTGTTTTCTCTCTGCATGTCTGGTTCAGCATCTAAAGCAGTCATAGGATGAGCTGCACATGACATGGTGTGGGTGGAGAAGTCATCCATTCAGAAAGAAATGCACATTGATTTCCATTCCAAACACTGGCAGCTAACTGGTTTTAAACTTGATTGTCCTTGTTAAATACTACTCTCAGGAAGCACTGATGAGGTCAGAGTTACTGAAGATAGAAAAGGAGCCTCTGCATCATTATAAATACTTGTGCTACAGTGTAAAAATCAATACTTGTTTACTCAACTCTATGAATAATAGAGTTTTGAATGTAAATTTATAATTTATGCATCTGAAATCTATAGCATGGGGCTGACGTGAGGTGCAGTAACTTCCATCTTTACATCCATTTTAAGAATCCCCTGGGTGTCTGAGTGATGTGTTATCTGGCCAAAACACATCCTCAGCCCAGCCTCCCTGCAGGCAGGTCATTACAACACCATTCTTCAGGGATCCTGCTGAATGCCCCAAGGATGTCCTCACATGGACTTTGGTTGCTGGGGAGAATCCCTCAAACAGTGTGTGTTTAGGACTGGTCAGAGGGTGTTGCTCTGCAGTTGCCACAACAGAGCCACGGCATAATTAAAAGTTATAGCACTCATTAGCCCATGCCCATTAAGGATGTCTGGCCACTGTAGAGGGACAAAGCCAGGGACTCTCTTCCCCCCACCAGTGT